GACAGGTGCTGCGGTTGTACACCCTGTCCCAATCTTCCATGGACATCTCGCATCAAATGCAAACACCATAAGACACGAAGTTGGGATGGAGGGACTGAGCGTAGCTTGGTCAACTGCTCGAGGGAAATTCTGATATCGAGTCCACCATCCGAGACAAAAAGGAGGGAAGTTATATGCGGTGTATGCATTGAGTCGTTCGACCTCGGTTTGAATATCGGGTAGAGTCGATACAGGGGATGCTGCAAGGCCTCAACGAGGTGGGTGTTGACCAATTTTCAGGAAGTATGTGAGTATCCGTAGACGGCTCGGGTCAAGTTACAATAAATGTATAACAGTCAATAACAACTCCGAAGAGGCTACCTAGACAAGCCGTAAGATTCTTCTTCCTCGAAATATTCCCCTGCAATATTGATTGAGTATTAATGCCAGATCCAAGAGCGACCATCTGAAGCACCATCTCATTTCTGAACTTCCCCTGGAGCCGCTAGCTGTCAGAACAATCTTAAAATCCAGCTGTCTATCTGTATCAGGCCGCGGCTCAGCGAGAGAAAAAAAGACTTGTTGGCCATGCCGTGTGACGCACCAGGCCGTTTCCCGGGCTCGTGCGCAATATTTTAATCTTGCGATAAGAAAAACGGCCAGCCTACTTGCATCTGCATCGGAAAGATATCCGTGCTGACTCCTGTGAAGCGTGCATGCAGTCTGGGGAATGCAAGCTCTTCGCCTGTGTAACGTGTACACATCGGGGCCGGGGGTGGTCTTGGGGCTGCTTGGGCTGAAGAGGTAACAAAAACATAGATGACTCTAGTATCTACTCAGACTTTTCACCAGTGAATATCAATGGAATTCGAAGTTTATTTACCTGAAAGACTCGATCCACCAAAAGTATTCTTCAATACGAGAGAAAATAAGACAGAGCATGATGAATCTATGAATAAGGGAAGCCAGAGGGCAGTTTCCCCAGAGCTGAAGACAGAAATACGGTATGGAAGATAATTTGATCAGCATTTCTATATGAAATCCAGAGAATGGACAGCTGGGATATCGGTGGGTTGTAAAGGAAGACGAGGGAGGTACAATCATCGTGGGCGGGTAACGCAGGGATGAGGACTCCCATCGGAACTTTTCGCATCGCCATTCACAGGAGATAAAATGCCTGGAAAAGATACGTCGCGTGTTTTCGTTTTCATTCCTGCACGCATCCGTTCCTTTCAATTTTTTGACAGCGATATCCCAACCTCAAACCTTACGGAACTAATTTCTTCAAAATTGTGATCGCCAACAACATCAGCAACCCTTACTACTACCAACCCCAAATATGGAAGGAGCAATAATTGAAGCCTTTTAAATCTCGATTGATGGAAGACATCAACGTCGCACGGCCCTCCACCACACCAAGCCTAAACATGCACGTTCCCGATATCCCCGTTTTGAAAGCCCCCATTCCTGCATGCAACTGCGGCTGCAGGCGTGGTAGGATGTCAGATTCCCTCCGTAATCTATGGGACCGGGGTTCTTCAATATGACAGCTAAAAGCTATACTTGTCAATTTGGTATTGGTGGCTGGAGGCTATGATTTCTACTACTAGACAGCGAATCAAGTGTCTATTGCTCCATCTACGGAGTACCATCAGATATTATTAGGTATAGCTTCATAGGTGGAACAACGATCCGTTTTTGTGCCTGGAATAAAAGATAACAACAGAGGTATTCATAATTAGTACTAGTAGAGAAGATCTTTAACAGCTAAACATGCTCCGCAATCGGACGCGGTCAATATTACTGGGTCCTACCATGCCAGAATACCGTCGTGAAGTGGCTACGTTCTCATATTATTCTTAGAATGATGAGGAACTCGAAGTAGTATACTTCTGAATGAATAAAAATTCATCTAAAAATTATTCCCGCTCAATCGCAGTATAGAAAAAGAGGGTTGCGACCAGTGTGACGCAAAGGATGAGTCTAGAGAAAACAATATCTACTACAACTTAAAATTCACCGCACTTTAGTTGCTGGGAGAGACCCGGCACATACGTCCATCTTCCGAGACAGTCCACTCATCAGAGCCAACGGCAGTCAAGCCATAGAAGAGGTGGTGAGGGTCATATTTGGCCTTGATGGCACGCAGCTTGTCATAGTTCTTGCCATAGAAAGCCTTCTGGAAGTTGGGCTGGTCGAAGTCGGCCTAGAATCGATTGATGGTTAGCATTTGTCATAAATCGTTTCTTATAATTAAGTTAATAGTATACCTCATTAAGATAGGCTCCTGACTCAGGAGACAGGTTGCTCAAGCTGGGAACCAAGACATCGGTCATCAACTTCCGCTTCTCACGCATCTTCTCTGGCTTGTTGAACTCCCATGGAGTAGACATGAGAACGTGGGCAATCGCGCCGCGCCAGGCCGGGTTCACAGCATTGTAAACGTCACCAGTGACCTCCTCGGTGACCTTGACACCGACAGTAGTGAAAGTGGCGCCGTAAGAAAGCACATTACGAGCCGCCTTAGTCAGTTCGTGTCTGGACTTGGGACTTTCAACAATCGAGCGGGGAAGAAGCCAGCTACCATACTGAGCGACTCCAATTTCAACAAGCGGGGTCTGGGCATTGAATTGATCAAGATAGTTGCTGAATTCCTCGGCTTGCATCTCATACTTGATGCCAAGCTTCGTGAGTCCGTCACGGAAAGGCTGGGTAAGGCTCTTGAGCTCCTTCAGAGAAATACCGGGAGCGGTCATGGGGGAAAGAGAGAAAGAAGCGTTGGTAAGGAAGTTCAGACTCATAATACCACGGTCCACGTAGGAAGGCAGGTGGGTGTTGTAAAGTTCAATGGCCTTGTAGAAGGTTTCGTCGGAGATACCGTCGGTGGTGAAAGTGAGGTTCAGGCCAGACACATGGCTATCCTGATGAGCCTTGGAGGTCATGGACCAGACAACACCGTAGGTTCCACCACCGCCACCGGTCAGAGCCCAGTAGATGTCACTATTATGGGTGCGGTTTGCGGTGAGGAATTGACCAGTACCGTCGATAACCTCCCATTCCAGGACCTGGTCCGCACCAAGCCCGTGCTTTGAGGCCAGAGACGAGTGACCTCCTCCCTGACTGTATCCGCCTGCGATGCCGACAGTGGGACACTCTCCGCCGACCATGCGCAGGCCGAGCTTGCGGGCTGCTTCATAGGCCTCGATTCCCTGAACACCGGCGCCGAGCTTAGCAACCTTTCCGGTATAATGCTCGTCCTTCCAGTTCTTGAACTCAATGTCCTTAAGGTGGTGTGTCCAGACCGAAAGAGCACCAGCGCCAGTGGACTTTCCGTTGTAGCTAAGAAGAGTCAGTAATGGTCAATCAAAGGTATTGGCTGGGAGGGCAGCATACTCATGACCGGTGTTGCGGATGATAAATCGAATGTTGTGCTTGGTGGCGAACCTCAAGGTCTTGGCCACATGTACGGGCGAGGAGACATTGACTGCATATTTGACGAAATTTCCAAGGGTGCATGGCTTGGAGACAGGGTGGTATGGGTCGCAGGTTCCATTGGTGAAGAAAGGAGCCATGAAAGACGACGAGGATTGATAGCTGAAGAATCCATCAGTTAATTACGCCTCGCACAATATACATGACTCTAAAAACTTACTGCTCCTCAAGGAGAAGCCATCCTTCCTTCAAGGCCGCACACTTCTTGTCATCGTATGAGGGGACATGACAGGGTGTTGCGAGAGGGACGGTGGCAACAAGACGTCCGTCAACAGATTGGTTGAAGGCTTTCCAGGTCGAAACGGAAGGCCAGCAGTCATCTCCGGGGAGGCAACGGCACGAGGAGCTCTCAGATGCCGCAATTGTGGGGGCAATTGCAGCAAGACCGAGGAACGCTCCGATCTTGAGGGTGTTGAGGGACAGCATCACGACTTGTTGTCCAGCCTCGTATTCCGTTGCAGGGGATGAGAAGAATTAAGTTTTTGGCATGTACTTATTTACCCAGCGTGCGGACATTCCGAGCTCGCACACATGCTCTTTCAAGCTAGTACGAACTAATGCAGGAGATGCACCGGCGTAGAAGTTAGGGATGTCCAGGCCTCCCTAATGAGATGTAGATCTGCTGGCGCGAATCCTTCGGACCCACCGCGGGTCGAAACGACATTTTGTTCTCCAGAGATTCCAAACTTTGAGCCACGCGGTGACAGGGATCATGACTCGTGTCCTGCTTCTCAGTATTTCAACTCAAAATCAAGGCATCTGAAGCCCAGTTAGCCGGGCGTTGAGAAAGATTCTCCGACCCCTTCCTTGCTTGGGGTGCCGGTATGTCGGCCATTGCGGAGACTAGACTTTCAGCCCCCAGAAAACATGGAAACCCCCGTTTACTTTTTGGATAAAAGGAAGTGTAAGCAATTCAATCCACTTGTGTCCTCAAACATGATCAAGAATTGGTTTTCGGTTGTACCATTAGTATTTGATACAGTGGTAACTGATGACGAACAACAAATACTGCGAGAACATCCACTTGCGCCCACTTAAGCTAGTATGGTCACCCCATACTCCGTGTTTATCACTGTGCTCGGACATATGCACGATGTCTACTCCGTACTCCATAAACAGTTGCCTTATGCAAGACTCTGCCGACATTGCCTAGCACAACGCCGATCCAAATCTTCAATTCTGTAGCAGCTGTCTCACGGCGATACCTTTCTTCGGAACTCCGCCGTAGGACAATCCATTCATTACATCCGAAGGATGCACTAGAGACGCATAGCCTAGGTCCATCGACCCAGCAGCCAACTAGTATGAACGTGGGCCATAGCGTCAAACGCCTCCACATCGCTGAACCTTCGAAACACACAGGAACGGTCCGACAGTCTCGGTTCATATGACAGTCATGACAGCGGCCCTAAATCTTCAACTTTAAGTATATTCTGCCTCAATCACTTGTGCTGCATTTCACCCTCGCGCTATCTATCCAAACTATACGCACTCTTTTATTCGTTTTTATACATTTCGCAACACTCAACATGGGGGAGAAAGTCGGCGTGATTCCTCCCCCAGCTGGGGTGACGCCTGATTTCGACTATTCCAATCCATGGGATTTTAAGGAAGATTTGATCATTGTTGGCATTGGACTGACTTTGAGCACGCTCTTCTTGGCTATGCGAATTTATACTCGAGCGTGCCTGCTATCTAAATTTGGATGGGATGATGGTGTGTCGATATCTCTCTAAATGGATTGCCTCGGTGCATTGCTAACTCTCTGAACAGTATCGATGATATTAGCCTGGGTAAGGAAAGCCGATATGACAATGCGATCTCAGCGACTCGAAACCCCTAACACCCTGACAGGTATTCTCCTTGGGAACGCAAGTCGTATGCATACGTATGTGCTACCTTTTCTCACCACCACCACAACCTTGGAAGACAATCTTTCTGACATGATTTCGCAGACGGCTACCGCTTCGGTGGAACAGGAATCCACATGTGGAATGTGACTCCAGAGATGTTTACCGTCTTCCAAAAGGTATGTACTCAATAGATCTATAACCATACCAAGCCGACTAATATTCCCGATGCAAGGTCATCCTCGCCGCCGCTGTTGTCTACGTCCCAGCCCTCGCATTCGCCAAAGTTGCCCTCATCATTCTCTACCACCGCATTGTGAATAAGCAACCAATCTACGTATGGTGCCTTCATATAATTTCGGCCGTCGTTTGCGGATACAGTGTTGCCATCGTCTTCGCTTTGATCTTTGCATGCAATCCCATTGAAAGAGGATGGAACGCTGCAATTACAACAGGCTATTGCGTCAATCGCAATGGCTTGTATATCGCAACCGCGGTCACAAACATTGTCACCGATATCGCTCTCTTGGTGCTTCCTTTCCCTCTTGTACTCGGCCTGCAGATGCCGCGTATCCAAAAAATTGGACTGCTTCTGATGTTTATTGTTGGTTGCGCGTGAGTGCCTCCTCCCCATCTCCGGGACAGGCTGCTTGGTTATACACCCTCAAGATATTTAACTAACTCTGGAACAGCACACTCATTACAAGTATTCTACGACTCACGACCTTAATCGCTTATCTCAAGACAACCGATTTAACATACCAGCTAGCTCCATCCCAGCTCTGGATGTAAGTAATACTAGTACTCCGCCTATGTGGATCATACTAAGAACTGATAATTTCTCTTTTACAGCTACGTCGAGGCCAACCTCATCATCATCTGCCCCTGCCTACCTTTCCTCCGCCAATTTATGCGCCGCTACTCACCCGCCTGGATCGGCGAAAGTGGTCGACGCTATTTCCGCGAGTACAGTTCCGGCACCACGGGCCTCTCACGCAGCCGTCGCAAGCAGGGACTCAGCCGTCTACATGATGATATCGCTTTGGCGGAAAATGCCGGAAGCACACACAGCCAATCACATATTGTCAAAGAAGTTCAATGGCAAGTGACGGAAGAGCGAATGGAAGCGGGATCTTCACGTAGTGACGCACAATTTCGTCGGGAATAACGAAATTCAGGGGAGAAAAAGGAAAAAAGGGGGCAGGGAATCAATACGGATCGGAGTTCAGATTAATCGCCGCTCGGCTACAATGTAAATACTATAGCGACAAATAATAATAACTGACATGAACTCACCATCTTCTCTCCACTTGTTACTTCGATTCAACGCAAATTCCGATCTAAACAGGCCCCCCTGTTTGGCAAAGTTACCGCGTGTCTGGTTGCCGAACGCCACGCAATACCGGCGGAATACTCGCAAGGCCAAAATTTCCTCGATGAATCCGACAAAACAGATGATCCTTCGGGGTCTGAACACTCTTCGAATTAGGCAAATTCCCATCTTCAAACAACGGATTCCGCCGATCGACCCCACGCCACCATCGTCCGCACTAGCGATTGGCGCAATGAATCCCCCGGAAAGACCGCACAGAAAGCCGAAGGCCCAAGCGGTCGTTAAGCTAGACGAGCGTGGGTCGCGCTTCTGGAACACTTCGTTCTCAAATTTCAGCTTGTACCCACTTAGCCTTCACCTAACGGATGTAAAAGAGAGCCTTGTAAGCCCGGTGGGTCGTGACAATTGTAGTCCAGTCCGAACGTTACTCGTAGTACTCCGTACTCGAATCCCCTAAGTGAAGTTTGCCCGCAATATCGTACACATGATTACGCCAAGCCAAGGCCAAGTGAGGCGCGACGCCCGGATAATGGATGTATTGTGTATGGAGTAATTGTTTTGTGCTTTGCAGTGGCGCCAATAGTGCGGGGCAATGAATCCTTCAAGATATAGTTTGTGGCCCTACGGACGTACTAAGTACTAGTAGTATTCATTTCTCAACGATTCTAGTATTTATTTTATCCGGGGCCGCTTTGATCAAATAGTCTTCCATAGTATTTGGCTTGGCCATGACAGATTCTTATATTCGCTAGTAGCGCCACGGGCGTGCGCCAAGTTTATACAATGCCATTCAAGTTTTGAGGCAAATTTTGACTTTATATAACTTGAAGCTCCGTGCAACTGCCGAGCATGGAATACTATGTACTAGTACTAGTACAAGACCAGAGCAAAATGTCCATACACTATTACTACTAGTATTAGTACTGACGAGGGTGTCGGCCACATTGAAACTATCTCATATGTACTAGAACTACTACTAGTAGTACGGGAATAGTAAGTCAGCACTTGGAGGATAAAGTTTCAAGACCCGAACTTCCAGAATAAACCATATTGTACGGAGAACTACCTCCAGGGCCGACCAGGAGTACTCCAGTGCTAAATAGTACCCAACCTTTAATGTCGGCACATGAGAAAATAAACACATCCTTCCAAGGTTCGCCATTGTCCAGACAAGTGCAGAGTTCTACACACACCTTGCAATCCACTATTATAAAGCTTTCTTACAATTAAAGTTGCTCTTTCAAAGATCTCACACTGCCAACCATGCTCCAGGTTCCAAGCCGACCCATCCAATCCGTAGAATCATGCTGCAGGGCTCTATCTGGGAAAGGTGTTGATCGCCTCACCTGAAAGAATTCGAAGTCTGGTCGGAAGGGAGATAGCAGGTAGTTAGTAGAAGCACCACCAATGTCAGTCCTACTAAATACAAACTTGAACCAAGTATGCATATGTACGAGTATGCACATATTACCCATCGATCAGATTTATTTCTCATGCTCCATAGAATCCGCCACAATCCAACCGTCGATCCACACTGCGGCCCGGTGCGAGCGAGCCACGATGTGGCGGGAGCTTGGAACCAATCGAGGTTGATGTGGATCGAAGTCCGGCACCTGGGCATATAATAAGATTCAGTACGAGTACCGAGTACATCCATGGATAGTAGGATGAATTGTTCTTCCATATTGCCGTTATATTTGAATTTGCTATTATATGCATTCGCGTTCACCCATCCACTCATAGGCTTGTACGCAATGGTCATTCCGCATCTATAGGCTCGACAGCTCGTCGGATTGGTTACAGCTACAAGACAAAATGGAATCTGAGTGGATATCATAAGATGCAGACGAAGCTCTGGTTCCATTATTCTCCAACTGGGTATTGTGACTATCGATCGAATCTGAGACCAGTCAAGACAGGAGTGGGGGATCTTGGGCTGGTCTATCCATCGGTGGGTGTGGCCAGGGTGTTGGGAGGTGGATTTGTATGTACTGCGGAGAGCGAGGCGATGAATAGATGGGAAGAGGAGATAAAAGAAGAAAAGAAGACGATGAAATCGTGGAAAGGAAGGAGGTGTGTGAGTATGTGTGTGGATAAGATGAGAATAAAGAAAGGCCATTGCAATGCTCCATCCGTCGCTAAAAAGGATTAAAAAAAGTGAAGGGTTTGCTGGAGATCAAAACAAGCGAGAGAGGGAGAGGGAGCAAAAAAGAAGAGCATGTAACGGAGCTTGGAATGTGTCGCCTGCCTTATTCAGATCCGGTCCGAATTGAATCGAATCAAGCCACGTGAAAGCTATCATTGTGTGTGGGCTGAGCCGAGTCTGGCAAAGCCTATTTCTTCGAGTCCTCCTTCTTGGGAGCCTCGTCCTTCTTCTCCTTCTTCTGCTCTACTTCCTTCTTTTCTTCCTTTTCTTCCTTTTCTTCCTTTTCCTCCTTCTTTCCTCCTTCACCTCGGGCTCGTCCTTCAGTTCCTCGCCATAGAAACGGCGCAAAAACCTCTCGACCTTGACAAACTCAACCTTGACCTCTTGGAGGGTGTTGTCGATGTTCTTCAAAGAAACGTTCTCATCAGGCTCGTCGGTGGTGCCGGCCTCGTCCTTGCCGGCGCCGAAGTGCTGGATCTTCTCGCACCCGTCCTTAACGTTCGTGAGACCCAGTGTAGCTGAGGATCCCTTCAGGAAATGGCCCAGCTGTGACAGTTCCTCCAGCTGCTTATCCGCACTGCAAGCTATTAGCACAATGCAAAATCATATTGAGCTCCAGCCAATCCGGTGGTAGAGATCTTTTGACAGAAACAAAGGTGGATGCTTACATCGCCTTCTCTATCTTCTCGAAAGTAGCATGTGCCTGGTCGAAAAACCCATAGACAATACCCTTGCTGAAATCACGGTCGTCATCATCGTCCATCTCTAGGATCTGCTCAAAGGTGCTCTCATCGATCAGCTCCTTGACATCGGAGAGCTTGGGCGGACCCGTCTTCTGCCATGTGTTAGCGACATCCATCTCGGCCGGCTGGGGGGGTCGGTGGACGCACGGGCTCTTCTGCCTTCTTGGGGTCTGTTGGCGCCATCTCGTCGTGTACTGAGGGGGTCTAGGTGGGTAGGTGGGATGAATGCACCTAGTGCGTGGGGGATCGGATCGTCAAAAGGTAGTAAGAATCAAGCCGGCTCGATCTGAATGAGACCAGTCGAGATCTGCGATAATGGGTTAGCGTTGCTTATTTGAGGACAGCGGCGCAAAGAGGCGCAGAGAAATGCAGGTAGTCGAGGCAGTGAATGGTAGGCAGGTGGCAAACAGGAACAGGGATGTGATGGGTCATCAGGTGTAGGCGGGTGTTCAGGTGGGATGTATGGATGTATCAGAGGCAACCAACAGCCGAAAACCCCGTAATCATACCCTCGCAGTCAAGTCGAACCAGTCAGATTGAACAGAGTTGCGAGCAAGTTACAAGGTTTGTGAATTACAGATAGAAGTTGTGTTTGGGGGTAGGTAGAGGGGATAGTGGAAGTGAGGCAGTGGGCAGCAGACAGTAGACAGTGAATAGATCAGTGTCTGAAGCTCAACAGGTAGGGCGGTGACGCAGCGAGAGGTCGAGGCAGGCAGTAGTCAATCACGTCAATCACGAATTGGCGGCTTACTATGAGAAACCGCTGGTGGCAGGGGGAGATGGAACTATGCGCATATAGAGTGGTGGTGGTGGTGGTGGCGGCGGTAGCACACGGTGGGGAAAGGTATCGCAGCCAGGTGCCGCCAACAGTAGAAAAGAAACAAGAAAGAGGAAGGAGCAAGTGATCGAGGGTTCGAATGAAGTAGACAAAGTAGGTATACAATGAGTAGATCAATCGGGTATCGTGTGGCTGAGGGGATTGGAGGGGGAGGGGCAGAAATTGAAGTCCGTTTGGGGGGGGGGAGAGGCTGAGGTTGGATTGGATGGCAGATTGCGGGGGGTGGGCAAGTCGGAGGATTCACCTTTTTTTTGTGATTTTATTATTTTGTGTGATGGGTGATCGACGTGGAGGGAAAAGGGGTAGAGAAGAAAGGAAAAGAGTCGAGAAGGGGAGAGGAGAGGGAGAGAAGAGGAAGAGAAGGAGAGAGGAAGTGGAAATGGAAGTGGAAGAGAGAGGGTAAGGGGCGGAGACGGTGTGGGTAAGCCTGCCACTTGACTGCCACTCTCTCTCTCGGGGAGGAAGATTATGAGGAATCTGGAAATTTCAACTCTTTTTAACTGATAGCATCAATGGGATCCCCTTGATACTATTCTTTACTCTTAATCAGATTCGATCTAGAGTTCTCTATCTTCCTATTTTACCTTATACAATAAATGGTGTGGGGGGTTGATGTGGTCCATGTTCCTCCAATGCTTCTACACCCTTCCATGCTCTTGCATTGTACTATTTGGTCTCTCCTTTTAACTCCGAATAACCCACACGGAGTGGTTCCCGTACGGAGTATTTCTGCGATATTAATACCTACTATTCTTCGGGGTATCTCATTCCCCCTTTTGCGGGCGCCCTACAATGAGTTGGAGTATTCTTTTGACCTTCCTATACCAGATCATTTCCGGGGCCCGATGGGCATTGTAAATGAGAATAAATGAGCCTGAACACCAAACCAGTTAATATATGGTTAGTTCTCCCTCAGCGGAAAGTGCGCGAGCCCCCAAAATGAAGGGTTTGGAAAAAGAAAAGAGAGGATGAAAAATCCATTCCCCCGGGTGTCGCTCCACTCCGTCCCGAACAATGTGAGGTCATCGGTCAGGCCCTATCGGCTCCCACTCAACCCTATTCGGTAGGAGACTGTAGGTGAACCAATGTAGCAGTGGAGAAAGAGGGGCTACCAGAGACAGCAATCTAAAAGAAAGATAAAAATAAAAATAAGATAGTGACAGCGAGAGAAAAGAGAAAAGAGACAAGAGACTAGCCGCAGCGGAGCAGCCGCAACGCGACATCACTCATCTTTCATGCATCACCGGGCGCCGATCTTCTATCAGCGCAATCGAAATGTAACCAGGGGTAGCAGCAGTACCATAGGTAGCACAATGACAGGATAGAATTGAAGAAGGCGAAAGCGGAAACGGAAATGGAAGCGAGGCAACTGGACGTGTGAAGGTCTTCCAGACAGACCAGCAGTAAAGTGCGAGTAGCAGCGGGTCACCTGGGTGGGACACTCTTAGAACAGGAGCTGGTAACCGGCAGCAAATCCCGTCGAGTTCAGGACAAAGAGCAAGGAGACGAGGGACCCGATCCTTGGACCGCAAGCGGACATGGCCTGGGCCTTCTGGGACCATACCGTCGACATTGGTAGGGCCAGAGCCCGCTGGCTTGATGGTTAGCTGGTTTGCTAGTTAATTAGCCCGTGAGCTGGTTTGATGGTTTTGGCTGGTCCGGACGCAGAGCAGGGCAGAGGTTGGGCTAAGACAGGATGCTGTCACCGATGACGAGGTCGGGCATGGGCCGACTGTGCTGCTCTGTTTCTGTTTCTTTTCTTTTTTTGCTTTGGATGAGACCTGGACCGACTGGCCTAGATTGCACTAGAACAGGAACAGATGACACAGAGCTGTCAGGACTTACAGTTTATTATGGAGTCAGCCTTGAACAGAAAGCCTACTCCAAGTGTTATTATATATGGACAGCGCAAACCATTTTCATTTTGGCAAATTCACAATTTGTGGTCGTCCCGGCAGGCTTCCACCAATCAGCGACAGATCCTTACGCCATGACATCATGGCGGGGAATCAGCCTCTGATGTCATAACCAGCCATAAACAGCCATAAAATACTAGAGTAGAGTAGAGTATGAGTATCTAGAGTATACGGTACTACGGAGTATGATCTAGCCTACCTTATTTAGGTACAGACCATCACTGCTAGTATAACCTGATGAAGTACGAATTATTGATAGACCAGCATACTCGTAGCCGCAACATGCTATAGTTACCCTCAAACGTACTACTAGTACTCTTACTACTAGTACTAATACTACACCAATATGCCGAGCACAATAGTACCCCCTGCATGATGTCAGGCTGCATCGTGCAACCTCCGAGTCGGACTGGGGAACATTGCCAATCAACTCGGTCACACACGCATTTCATCGCCGACAGCTTCGGCACATATCAAGGAACCGATCGTCCTCTCATTATCACCTGGACCGGCCAGCTGCTCGTATCGGACCATGCTGCAAACCTCGACTCGATCACTTCCAAAAATAGGTCGTCAGATATGCCAGGACTAGTGCCGGTGCCAATACCAGTGCCAGATACGAGATGACAGGCTGTGGAACACACCCAAGCCTACATAGGTTTAGCGGCATGTTAGAACTGACCGGCGTGGAAACTATCCGTTTGGCCCCCCCAGCCTAAACAACCAGACAAATCAGCAATGCGCGATATCATCTAGGCCGTAACCGAACAGACGAATGCACATGGCTAAGAGAGAAGCACGCTAGAGTTGGAGCAAATACCCGGTCAGTGCGAGCGTTGAGGGATGATCGCGGATGACTTCAAAACAAACGGGACTGGAGGACTGGGGGAACAAAGGAGAGGGAGAGAAAACAAGAAGTGCCCAGTCTATTGAAGCAACAGCCTCATTCACCTACCCCGGACACTCGGACACCAGGATTAATAGCCCCCATAGCCACCCGGGCCGCCGGGGGGAGCCTTCGATCACCCTTCTAGAAGGCTTATGTCATCATCCGAGGTCCGTTTTGTTGAGCTTCACCTGCAAGACTCCTTTCCCAACGCCAACCCCATCGTCAACGAGGAATCATTCCTCCCCTCCTGAGTCCTCGACTCGATTCAACCCCTTCATCAATAATCACGATATAGTCATCTACCAAAATGGCCTCCAAGCAGCCTCGCTCTTCCTCTCCCTCAGGCCTGACCAGAGGGTACCTCTTCCTCTACAACACAACCAATCTCTTCACCTGGGCCATCTGCGTGATCTATACCGCAAGCCTCATTCCCGCCGCCCTGCGAAATGATTCCCTCCATACCATCTTCCAGGAAACTGCCAACCCCCTTCTCATCGGGACGCAATCGCTGGCCATCCTCGAAGTTGTACACAGCATCCTCGGCCTCGTGCGCGCTCCCTTTCTCACCACCGCGATGCAAGTTGCGTCGCGACTGCTTCTGGTCTGGGGAATCATGGCAATCTTCGGTGGCGATATCGTTGGTGCCGAGAAGACGCAGCTAGGTGACTACGCTTATCTGGGCTGTGTGACAGCTTGGGGTATTACTGAGATTATTCGCTACGGTTTCTTCGCTATTACGCTCTCTGGAAACCAAGTCCCCGCTTGGTGGACTTGGCTGAGATATAATACTTTTTATGTCCTGTACCCCGTTGGTATTTCCAGCGAGTGTGCGCTTGTTTATCTTGCGCTTGGCCCGGCGGGCGAAATTGAGCCGCTTCTCAAGTGGTTCCTGGTTGCTGTCTTGGCTATCTATGTGCCAGGTAAGTCTTTGATGTCTCCCCCTGATCATTTGCTTGACTTTTCCTTACGGATGATTCAATTAGGCTCTTACGTTCTCTACACCCACATGATTGCGCAGCGCCGTAAGGCCCTTCGGGGTAAGAAGCGTGCCGATTAAATTCGGGCTGGACGGAGTTGCGGATTTTATTATTAGAGAGGATCAGCTGGATCTCTTGTTATTCCTGGATATCAATTGTATGATAGACGCCCGAAAAGTCGGGCTAAAAGTTCGACAATAATCTATAAGTTATAATATTCCATAGACCAACCTGTGCGTTTCCAGGTCGGAATAGATTCAAGTTGAAGGATATACAGTATCCGTCGACATCTATGGCAAGCTTTGGAAGTATTCACAGCTCACGCATTATATCCTGCACCGCTTTCGCAGCAAACCTTCTTCGCTCACTGTCTGGCAACTCGGAGCCCATATCTAAATGCACCAACCCGTTAGCAATGCACCAAAATCGCCAGAGAATCAACGTACCTCGTAGAGATTGCATGCGCATGATCAATGTCTCTATCGATTCAACTTTATCCTCTTCCTCATCGCCATCACTCTCCCCATCACTATCTCCATCGCCGCCGCCTCGCTCAATCGCCATCCGCAGACCAACCATTTCTCGCTCCAATTCATTTACCTCCATTCCAAACCCACTACCACCCTCCCGATCAAACCCAAGCAATTCCGCCTCAAGATCATCATCGAGTCCATCCTCCCCTGCAGCACTCCAATCATGCGTTTCAAGAACCTCTTTGACCCTCGGCATGCCCTCGTATTCTACATATATCAATTAGCATGGCCCCGAAAAAGCAGAGCAGGGTAGAGCAGCAACATACCACCAAACTTGTTCTTAGTCTTCTCCTTCTCCTCCCCAAGCGGATCCCACTCAACAACCTCCCATCCAAACAACCCCATATCAAAAAGTCGATCTTCCCACCACCCCACTGAGAGTGGTACATCTCCCCCAAGCTCATCCCCGCGTCCTCCTCAGGATCCCGCGCAGACGCGGAAGCAGACACGGGAGTTGACTTCCCACCAGCCCCAACAAGCAAAAATACACCAGGAACATCCATCCCACCCCGCTCCTCATCAATACATCCCTTCACAGCTCCGATGTCACGCATCAGCGCGCTCAGGGCAAGGACATCTTCGGACTGGGCGACGTCCACATCTGCATTTGCATCGTTGCGCGGACCAGGGGCCCGGACAGCGACGACTAGAGCGCCGACGGCTTCGCGGACGATTTGAGCCTCTTCGCTAAGGAAGTCGTTTTTCCATATTTCTGAGCCGGAACTCGAGTCGGGGGTGGAGGTGGAGGTGGAATTGGAATTGGAGTTGTTCTTTGGCGCGGGGAGGAGGGGCACCTCGTCGACCCAGATTGGTACTTCGGCTGTGTAGTATTTTGTACTTAGGCGGAGGGGGCTGTGGGTTGTGTAGCCTGCGAAGGAGGGTTGGGGAGGTATTGGCCTTTGCGAGCTTGTCTCTGGCTCTGTCTCTGTCTCTGTCTCGGGCTGTGTTTGGGATTGCGATTGTGTTTCTTGCTCGTTATCTTTTGATGATTCGGGGATTGGCTGTGAATTCGGGATCTCTGTTACGGGGACGCCGCTTAGAGTGTGCAGTAGAGGAGGAATGATCGAGGGGGATTGTGTTGGTGGGGTTAGGATGAGCAGACGGCGTGGATTGGGGACGTTCTTTGCGGGTGGTTTGGATGGGGCGGAGGTTGATGAGGGCATGGTGAGTCTGATATTGTTGGAGGTAGGTGTGTATCTCTGGATGATTGTTTCGCTCAAGGTTGATGTGGGTGCGCTTGGTTGAAGTTGTAGTGGGAGGTTGGAAGGTCGAAGTTGTCCCCGCATTGAGAAAAGTTGCGGAGATTCTGCTGAGGGGCAAGTCTCGAGTATAAAATTGGCCAGCTCTGTCTTTTAGGCCATTGGATACCCAGGCTGATGATTAAATGGAAGTTTGAGATAATTGCAGGGTATTCCTGTTTTATTTTTATTTTCAGTTTTTTTTGGGTTTCAATTTCTGCTTTGCTACGTTTGTCATTGTGCAGCGCAATGCCCTCGTGGGCGATCAAACAAGGCTCACAGAGCATATACCATTGACAATTGTAATAGAATAGCCCCACTGCCCGTGAATAGCAGTGCTATAGCATCCGTCTACGCAAACTTAACTGGACAGCGGTAACCGGGTATTCATTCGTGAGCGAAAATACAAGCCAGACGAATGACGCCCAAACCCAGCAAGAAGAAGCCTGAGAATTTTCCCCTAAACCAAAAACAAGTGAAAAAAATGACAAACGCCAACCACGGTAATCCTGCCAGGTCTCGTTGCTTCGCTTCGCTTCGTCCTCGTCGGGATACCCATTTTAACCCCTCCGCTGGCCGCGCGCGCGCTGCACGGTGGCCTTACCACGGGCCAAACCGACACCGCGCCCACGCACGCCTCGTGAGCGGAACATGGGGGCGTTCCTAGAAGAATATTCCGTTAGCAAATGTTGTTTCAGAAGATCCGGTAGCCCTCTTGGCTGCCGGTAGGATGCTAGTTGCTAGCTGCTACTAGCGCTTGACGTACCTCAGCATGTCCGGCACGATGAAGAATCGCACATGGCTTCCCCGGATGTAGACCTGATCGAGATGGGAGACGCGGCCGTCGCGGGCAGTAACGGTGATATCCTTCAGTTGGACGTTCATGTTGTCCTCGGCTGCGATTGAAAACTGTTAGCAGAGGTTCGAGCTGTGGCTGTGGGCGGATCTATTGCAATTGCCAGCCAGGCAACGTTCCGAAACCCTCCCAGATCCAGATTGCAAGCCCATTCAGCCGAGATATGATGATCCACGCACCTTCCAAAAGCTTCCCCCGGTAGACGACTCCCGATGTGATTTCGAGGGTAACGACATGGCCCTGCGATCAAGTTAGCGGTCTGCAATCACAAGCGAACGAGAACTCCCAAGGAAGTGGAAGAGCTCTCTTCTTTCTCTTCCGCTTCTTATTGCATTCTCGGGTAATTGGAAGCAATGAGCTGGACGACGACGGACCTGCGCTTCGTTGAGGAGCTTGATCGGAATGCCGATCGTGCTAGTGAGCTTGCCCATCGCGGCAGAGTGAGAAGGCGGAGAGAGGAATCGATGAGAAGGCGAAAATTGAATTCGAGGTGAGCTATCCCAGTGACTCTTGGTGTGTCACGGGGCGATGGCGGGGTGGATGAGGGCGAAGAAAGCGACGGTGTTGAGAGAAGAAGCGGAGGGCGCGAGGTGAGTTTTGCGGCGCAACTCCCTCCTTTCCGCTTTGGGCCACCTTTCTCCGCGAAAACCAACCACCACCACCACCACCACCCATTCACCAATCTTCATGGATTTACTACAATAACACTTCCCTCCTTCACCTTCACAGCACATCTCCTGGGTATCATCTAGCATACGCAGCTATGGCCGGCTCACCCAATTCCAACCTCCGCGCCTTCAACCACGCCGTCCACACCCTACTCAAACAACCCGCCCAGTTTCTCCCACACCTCACAATCCCAACCTTCACGTATCTCCCAGAGGAATTAGGGCCGCATCTCGTCAATTCAGACCCCCAAAATACCTCCAAAGCAAAAATCCCCACAATCAAAGCCCTGGTCCTAGACAAAGATAACACGCTCTGTCCCCCGAAAACAACAACCTTCCCTCCACAAATCCTCTCCAAACTTGCTGCTCTCCGACAATCACCAACCTCTCCCTTCCGCCACCCAAACAGCATTCTCATCGTCTCCAACCGTGCAGGAAGTCACCCCAAATATGACCATGAAATCTCATCACTAGAGTCCCAGCTCGCGCACCTCTCAATCCCAGTCTTCCGACTCCCCGCCGGCGTGGAGAAGAAGCCCTTCTGCGGGAATGAAGTCGTACAATGGCTTCGAGAGCGGGAGGTTGTTGATTCGCCGGACCAGATTGCCGTTGTTGGGGATCGGTTGGGAACAGACGTCGTGATGGCGGGTTTGATGGGTTCGTGGAGTGTTTGGTGCAAAGAGGGTGTTTTTGAGCCTGGTGAGGCTGGGAAGCCGGAGCGTAATATCTTGGAGAAGATGGAGGTTTGGGTTGAGAAGTACTTGAGGGGGAAGGGCTATAAGGCGCCAATGCCGAGGGGTTGGGAGAAGGTGTAGAGTAGATGGGTTTTGTATTGGGGGTGGAGGGGAGATTGTTCGAGTTTGTAGGATACGATTCTGAAGCATCTATATACCCAGAGCGGCGCGCGCACTTACATTATTATTGATACGACTACATTCCAGTACCTAAGTCCCAAGGTTAGTAGGTTCAAGTAAGAAAGCCATGCTACCAGAGTGGAAGATACCTGTGAAGACCATCTAACCTACAATATGGATCATCAGCGAGTCAGAGCTCGCAAGAACAACCGAAGTAAATAATTATGAACGCCAGTCTCGGTCTTGGTGGAGTGAATAAGTTCCCTGATTTCAAGTTCCTTCTCAATCTCACGGAGAACCCCCACAGTATATTCAAGGTTGTTGGTCTATGCAAGGAAAACTTGAAGCCAATAGCTCCGAGGATCCTTTTGGTAGTTCTCGGGTACAATTGATATTGAAGTCGCACTGGCAGAAACCAGGAGAAAAAGGCGCGATGAACAAAGACGAAACGAACTCGAACCAAGGTTGATAAAATAATGTAAAAGCAAAAGGATGAAGAAACTTGAGGCAAACCGCCAGAGGGGTCAACTGGTCTCTCGCACGCAGCTTACCAAGTTATCCATTGTGAAAAGTGCCGAATCACGATGCCAATATGACCTCAGGCCTTGAAAGGAACCTTGGAAAGCTGATTGGTTTTAGTATGCGAAGAACCCAGAGACGAACGATGAAGCCCAGACAACTTGAACATGCGGTACTAATAGTAGTAGTAGCATTTGACGAACTTGAACTTAATAGTACCTCCAAGTACGGGGAAGAAGACTCGGGGCCGTCCAAGGCTCCTCTATGTCCTCCAGGGCTGCACTATACGAACTATGAAAAATTTGAACTTGAAGTCTCGATAAGAAATGCAGTATCTTAATCACAGAATGATCATGCTTAGATATATCTCAGTACTATGCTTGACAAACAAAAAGTAGATTCGGGCCCAACATCAATCTCCCACTACGCCGCCAGACCAGCGCCCTCTTTCAGCTTCCAGAAGCCCGAACAGAGAATATCTCAACTCAGGCCGAACCCCTAGAAGCAACGCCGGAATCGCCAGTTCCCATAGGAGACCGACAGGACAGCTCGTGCAAAAAGACAGGCTCCAAAACTCGTAAAAGAATGATCATCAAACACGAGGGGGATGGTATGCAGACTGTCACGTCGCCATGGAAATAAATCCTGGAACAAGTCAAGTCTGATATGCCGCCCTCGGCTAAGCCAAAAAAACATTCAAACAGGAAAAAAAAAGTGGAAAATGAAAAGGAAATTCAGGGGGGATGGAAGTCGCCGTCCAAGCCGGTCGGTCTGTTTGGCATAACCGCGTAAAAAGGGCCCTGGCCAGCAAACCAAGGCAAGAAAAAGAAGACAAAATGAAAATGCTGGTTTGCAGACCAGGGGACGAAAAGAGAATTTCAGAAGTAAAAAAGGCAATCAATGATTCAACCGGGACATCCAGGAAACATTGAAAGGGTAGAATGTAATGAAAATAACAATCCAAAATGGAAAGAAAAGTAGCAAAAACTCGCTTTAGGACCGGCCCCAGAATGGAAAGGGTATTAGAACAACGCACAACAAAAGGGATATATGCCACGCAATGAACAGAAAAAGCAGTAACAAGTCCAGTCGAAATTGCTTTCCCGGTCATCGCCAGCGAGACGCGTTATCCGAATCAGACCAGACAATCATGTTTGCGCCAGCCAGACCCGGGTAACCATCGAATACATCCGAGATGGAAACCAGAACCCATCAACATAAGCGCCGTAAGCACTCCAAAGGCCGTGAAACGTGAAAAAGGGGAATCAAGTAAAAAAATGCTATAATCAATTTCTGCGCCAGAAGCATTTGATAGCTCCGTTCAGGACCCAGTAGGAAGGCCGTTTGAGTTGATCTCGTCGAGGTTGACCATACCATGGTGAGAGTAATCGGGCATCCCCGGAGAAGCATGGCCAGGCATGCCGTGCATCGGGAGGTCGAAACTAGGACCATCATGAGAGACGGTGTAGTTGACGTTATGATGCTTGGGGTACATATCGTTCATTGAAAGGCCGTCCTCGGCGAAGTCCGATTGCTGATCATGCGCGAAGCCATACATGTCGGATGAGCCATGGGACAGGTTCGACAAAGGAGGAGAGTGGTTGGCAATCATAGGATCCGCTGGGCTGACACCAGAGTAAGGCGATGGCGCATGCGATCCGACAGTGGATGTGTCGGAGGGTCCTGCAGAAATATACGAAACATTGAACTGCGGAGCCATGCTGGCGACTGGTGTTGAATCTCCTCGAGCGGCACTGCTGAACATCGACGGGCTGGCAAATTCAGATGGCGAACCCGCGGTAGTCGCAGACATGGGGTTCGGTCGGAAATCCAATCCATAGCCCTCGGTGTCGATGCGTAAATCTGTGGGAAGGGCGTGGACGGATTGCGGGATAGGCGCATAGATTCCAGAGTCGGTGTGGTTGAACGGAGCGGGCGTTTGCGGCATGTGGAAGGAGTGCATGGGGGCTTGCAGGGCAGAGATGTCAACCGCCGCCGGGACGGACCGACTACGCTGGCGCTTGTGACCACGAGCAGCGGGCATATTGAAGCCCAGATGATTGGCGTCCTGGTACAGTCCCACATAGGGGGCCTGAGCGTAGTGATTGGGCTGAGATGCAGGGCGCTGAATAAAGGGAGGCGACATCGTGGAGGGTGCAGCAGGTGTGGTAGGTACGGCGGGTACAGCAGGGACAGCAAAGTTGTTGTTGTTGGCATGGTATGCCAAGCGGTTCTGGAAGGATTCCAATGATACAAGCTTTGCGAGCTGGACACTCAAAACCTTGGGGTGACCCCCCTAGGTGATGAACCATGATCTGACTCGCTTGCTGCTCCTCGGTGAAATCACCACATTGGTAGAAGCCCCCTGAGTTGGATGAATCCATGTAAAACATAGGTGGACGGTTCAATTCCACCACTAACCCACCAGGCCGAGGTGGCGCGCCGTTCGGTCCTGGGGTCGGGCCCCTGTCTCCAATGTGATGTTCTTGATATGGGCGAAGGGGTACTCGATCTTATAGCCGGCAGAGTCGTTGTTGATATAATATGTCATGCAAGCCTTGTCAGGTGAGTAAAAAACCACCAAGTCCATGGCATTCTGGCCAATGCGCCGCCAGCTACCGATAGTCAAGGAGCGACAGGTGAAATGCGAAATGACTGTTAGTTGTTAGCCGAATGTTCAAATCGTGTGGCGCCCGGAGTATTGTATACACGTACCAACTTTCCCGGTAGGGCTAGTCTCATTCGCATACATGCTGGGAGCTCCGTATCCTGCCGAACGGCCAAAGGGGTCTCGAGTTCCGGGTTTGGTGGGGTCGAATTGCATCGCAAGGTAATGGCGCATCGACTCGGGAATTGAATCGCAGCCTTCGCCAGTCTCGATACTCTTCTTCGCAAGCATCTTGATTTTAGCGCGACTAGTAGAGTCAGCATTTTGATATTCTAGGGCTTCCAGCGTTCTTTGAGACCTACCGGTTCTGGAACCAAATTTGTACTGATCGCTCGGTCATATTGATGTCACTTGCGATTCGTTCCCGAGTAGCAGCGGTGGGGGTAGGGTTCTTGTTGAATTCGACTTCGAGGGTGACGAGTTGATCCTGGGTGGCCCGTTGACGCTTGTTGTTCTTCTGTTGTTGGGTCAATGTGCTCTTGCGCGGTGGGCGACGCGCAGAATTGGCTGTTGTGACGCTTGAGGTTGAAGGCGAAGGGGTGGAGTTTGTTGGCGAGGATGAGGCAGCGGTATGCGCGCCTGTTAAGTCAGGCGTTTCTGTAAAGGAAGACATTTTCAATGTTGCGATACGGCGATAAGCACAAATATTTCGAAGGGTTTGCCTAGAATGATGTCGCGAAAGTAATCCCGAGTATTTCCGTGTGCTTTTTTATGACTTTTTTTCAATTGCGGATGCCGTATGTGTTTCAAAGGGTGAAAAATGTTCGAAGCGTGACGATCCGGCCGACAAGTAGAGATGTTGGGGGGTGTGGTTGTAGAAAATGAGGAAGAGTCTTCCAAGTCTTGTTCTCTCGAAGCAGCGTCAAGCGCGAGAGGATAATTCAAAATGAATGAAAGGGATTCTGGGGAAAGATCGAGTCGAGTCAAATCGAATCAAATCGAGATCGCGATCGATGCTGGGCAGAAACCGGGGGGGGGGTTGGGTTGGGTGGTAAGGGCGCGTCGCAGAGGCGTCCCGTGTAAAGGAAGGTGGGATAAATAAAAGGCTGGCCTATGCAGCAGTAAAAGAAGGGCGGATTGATTCAGTGATCGACCTGGTCGGATAAAAGACTGGAGGTTGGATGACTGGAATCGCAAGGCCTAGTTGAATCGATCAACGGGTTGGGAACGTGGAATCTCTCTGTTCTTTTTGGGGGGAAAAGGATAGGAGAAGCCGGTTCGAGTGAAATGAAAGAATGGGTGGGGGATAGGGGGGATGGGAATAAGAATGAGCGGTACGGTCGTCGTGAAAGAGTGAAACGAACGACCTAGTCGAAAAAGAAAAGAAGGTGAGAAAAAGGGAATGAAGACGACACACGAGAAGAGGAACAGAGAGAGAGGCAGAGGAGGTGGAGGAGTGGGCACATCAGGAGATGCTGACTACTCAACTGGCAACTGGCAACTGGCAGCCACAGGCACAGGCAGAGACTATTGGCAGCTCGTGGGTCTTCTCCCCCCCCCCCAAGCACTACTGACTTCCTTGGTTTGCGACTATGGATCTGATGGATCATATGGATATCGACTGTCAAAACTATCTACTCCATAATCCTTTCTTAGCATTGCTTCTATTTTGACAATTACTTGTCTTCTCGTCCTCTACTCTGCCTCTATCTACTTCTCCCCGGTTGCCCGTTTGCCCTTGGCCCCATGCGTCTGCCTGCATCAACATGGGGCCGGACACTGGGCATTGGGACATCGCTGCCTCACCCTCGGGCTCCTTGCACAGAAAATCTGTCCCACTCGTTGTGCGACCGATCGTCTAGTGTCAGACTGGGGAATGCCCATGAGCGTGGGCATAGACATGGGCACGGTGGCGTCCCGAGAACCAGAACTGAACATCCCTCAGTCCCCTCCACTCTTTTTTTCGACCGTCCAGAACCCAAAACCCGCTGGATCGTCCGTCCCAAGTGCCGCCGAACGGCATCCAAACACGTGAGATCCGCGGGGGATCTGAAACGCTGGTACGAGATGCCTGTGATGCTGGAATGTTTGGAGGGGGGTACGAGTACGGAGTACGGAGTACCAAGATCTGAGATGCGACAGACCCAACAAGGACATGTTTGGGTCTCGACTCTCTCTCTTCCCCCTACTCGTAGTTTCGTTTCGCTTCGCTTCGCACCTGCGCTATCGACTGTCCGCTGTCCATTGCGCTGTCCGCGCCGCCCGCAGCCTTCCTGCAGTTCTGTTTTGTCGGTCTCAGGGACCAGCCAACCCCTGATTCGCGAACTCTTTCAGCCACGGGCTCCGCTAAGCGCCACCGCTGGTTTTCCCACGGTTGTCAGGGGCTTCTCCGGGGACTTGGAACCAATGAGAGTACAATTGGTACAATTGGTCACTGGCCCACGGTGCCCCGAATGTGCGGACAAGACGGACAGCCATTCAGGTACCCGCACTGCCGGTCATCATGATTGGTTTCGCCTGCATGACAGGTCATTCCAGACATAGGTTGGACAAGTTCAGTCCCGGTCCCGGTCGACTGTGGACTGTGGACTGTGGACTGCTGCAACTTTTTACGGGGGTCTAGCCTTGCCATTTTCACTAGCAGTTCCTCCCCCTCCCCTCGAGTTCCGTGCGCTATCTTACTGGGTCCCATTGGTGCGATTGAACCGAGACGGACAGCGTGAGGGACTACCTTGCAGCGCACGTCACAGGTGAGACTCCGTGCGCAGTCGCGTCTTCCGTCGCATCCGTATGAGTACTTCGTAGGAAGAAGAAGGGCTTTGTAGGGAGTACTCCGTACTCGTTCTGCGGTTGGTTTCAGTTCTGGTCCTTGTTCTGGGCCAGGAACATAAAAAAAAACTTTGTGGCACCGTTCTTGCCGTTACACAGTCCAGGCCCTTGGCCCCATCAGGCCCAAAGGCTAGGGAAAGGTGTTCTTTGGAAACAGAGTTGGAGTTGAAGTGGGCAATGGAGATCCTTGCCTGGTCGGATTCAGACTCTTCTGGTGGCATACCCAATTTAGTTAGTGCCATTCTACAGAGTACGAGAGCTCCTCGAGACTTGGACCTTGGACTAGGTGTGTGCGACAGTATTGTCAGATTCTATGTGTAATGAAGCATCAACTTGAACGTGGCTGTCTCTCTGACGTGGGATATGTCATATTATCTCCTTGGGCCAATGCAAGTTTATTTTCACTTCAAGTTCGCCTTTGTCATAGATGGCCCACATGTGATGAACCTTGGAACATCGCCACCCCCGGTTATATTTAGAAACATCTCCATCAGGGCTCCGAGTCTTCACGAGGATTTCACTCTCTCCGGTCAAAATGCAAACAAACAAGATCCTGCATCTAGGGCTTTAATCTGTCTGTCTGCACTCGAAACCGCCTGGTCCGGGTCAATCTCAATCATGCCAGTGTTCTTCAATTGTAACTCGTCCGTGATCTCCCAGACTCGCTCCGTGAGTCGCATCGCCATGTTGCGTTGTTGTTCCCGATAGTACTCGGTCATCGACCGATGCTTCTGTCGCACCCAAGCACGGTCGCTCGGGGTGACAGCCTCCCGAGCTGCAAGATAGAATGGTTGCGGCAGTGACGAGTCGGGGCCACAACCTGTAGAAAGACGATCCATCAAGCCAAAACAGGTTTGTGTAAGATGCTGGACTCGGCGACAGCGAGTTGGATCTCTAAACACGCGTCGCGCGAGTAGTAAATGAGCGGTCCAATAATAGCACTCCGTGAGAATGTCTAGCGGTGGTCGGCTTTCACACCCCGTCAACCCTGAGGTGATACCCGTATAATGAGAACCCCATGAGCGGAGATCATTTTCTAATCGATGAGCTTGAGCGAGGAGATCGCTGATCGACGCCTGTTGCTCCAAGCGATCCTCAACGTCACACGCAAGATGCGCAATCCTCACTAGAAAACACATCAGGGGTTGGGGACATCCCGTCATCTCGTGGAAAGAAGGCTCAGTCCCGTCCCACCGCGCCGCATCAGGTTGGTGCAGAATGAAGTTGCCAGGTGCGTACGGCCGTCGCTGTCGCGCGATGGCCAGCATCACGTCAACCATGGCGAACCGTTGCACCGCCATCCGGGTGAGGGCGCTGCGTGGTATCTGGTCAAAGTAGTCCAGCGTCTGCATGAGGAATGATGCGCATCTGACATGCGGTTCCAAGATCCCATCCTCTGACTGGGCGACGACAACCCCTTGTAGGACAATTGCTGTGAGTAGTGCCTCGTGATCGCAGGATCTGGTTGGTACTACTACGTCTCTCGTTTCACAGCCATTCCCGGCTTCAATCAGTCGCAGGTTTTGTCCAATTGTTCGGAGCATGCGTTGTTGACGGTGCGCTGCTGTTGACACGCTGCCCAGGCCAAAGTTGAGCATGTGCTCCGTAGCTATGCAGACTATTGTGTCCAAGAGGACCGGGGATGATAGTGCCGTCCATGAGAGTTGTCGGTACGGATTGTCTGGTCCGTCTAGCGCAGGGACGTTGGAAGAGACCAATCTCACATCTAGTCTGTGTCAGTGTGGAAACGTCACGGTCCTCACACAACGGAGACATACAGTATTCCCAAGCTGACTTTTCCTCACCGGATTGAAATAAATTGCCCGAAATAGTGAGAGGGGCCCGCTAGGTCCGTGTACACTATCGGGTTCCTGAGGCTCCTTGCGAGATCGATGTCTCGACACTGTAGGTTGCGCACGACCCACCCATTTCAGCGTCGAAGGGTACTGGCAGGTCAATCCTCGTACAGCGCAAAAGGAACACAGGGGGCGCCTCTCGTCGCATTTCTCGTGCTTTTTTCGACATGGTAGACATCCTACCGTGCCGTGTTAGTTTTGGCCTTGCGCATCATGCATGAGTAGTATAGGCGAGTTTCCTACCGGTTCGCGATCGTGTGAAACGCTCCCCACGGGGCATTCCGTTGATACGGTTGACAAATACAGTAGTACTTCAATCAATGCAAGGCAGGTGAGATGGCAATATAATTGAAGTGGGGAGTGGACCAGGCCAGCCACATTTCCCCGCTTATCGAGACCCGATCACATGATGAAGTTTAAACGACGCATTGGTTGAATTTGTTGTATTTTCATCAATAGGTTTTGTGAGGTTTAATTGCGAGTGTAGCTTGGAGTGGTGTTCATAGTATCATTTACTTTGTAAGTGCGTTTTGGTTTTTGTCAATTGGCGATCTCCAACGAAGAAAAGCGCTAGACTTTAATGCGTGGTTTCTACAAATAGGGCAAACCTTGGAAGATTTGAAAGATGCCTTTAATAGAATAAAATCCGAGAGATCTGAATGTTAATCCCCCTTCATAAGTCCCTTTCTGAGTTGGACAAAGACAAGGTATCCAAGGACCGCATAATCATTAGCAGTCATTTCCACTGCTAGTAGCCTCGACGAGAGGACATCTTGCTAACCTTTCAAAATATGGAGCAGATCATCTAATATCTCGATGTAGAGACAGTCAAATGAAAGGTACTCCTTCCAAAACAACTCAACAGAATATGATGACGCACTTATTTTCAAAGATTTTTCCAAAAATAGTCAAAATACGACTGTCGATCTCCAAGCCTTCCGCCAACTCTAAACATGATTCCCATTCAAGATCTTGGCTCTCCACTCCTCGTGTTTATTACCCCTTGATTAAACGAGGCACGGAATACTTGATTCAGATACGAGCAACACAGACCCGGAGGCGATCAACAACCTCCGATCTAATCAACATGTGTCGGGCCTCGTAAACTATTATTGGATATCCACTTGTCGTATTTTCTAACAATCAAAGGATCTTTCTCTGGGTCGTCACGGACTGGCCTGGAAATCCGACCAATACGTAGCTGGGATTTCGTGCACCTGGGTCGTTTAGTTCGCCTGGCCCCCATTTCATCAACTCTCTGCAGATTTATTTCTATCTTGATTCGCAGATCTTCATTCTGATACAATAAAAACACGATCTTGCATACTTGGCAATCAAAATGTCCATACTTGCGGTTCCTCCAGGCTATTCAAACTTGATCGCTGGGTGAATACTTAAAACCCGACATCCCTCGTCACTCAACGATACAATCCCAATCAAACGAATCTATAACTCGTTATCCTCAATCAATACTCCACAATCATGAAGTTCTTCGCCACCACTTTTCTAGTCACCTTAGTCACCAGCGCTGTCGCTGTCGCTGTGCCCCATTCAAACACCTCCTCCACCGACGTTGGAAAGAAGATCCTATCAACAGCCATGACAGCCAAGGGCACGCCCTATGCTTGGGGTGGTGGTTCCTGCAGTGGGCCTAGTGACGACCAGCCTCCGTATGACTACGGTGATGTTGGCTATGACTGTTCCGGTCTCGTCTGCTGGGCCGTCTGCAAGGTGACCGGTCGCGACCTTTTCACCGAGGGTCTTCGCGTGACTTCATCCATGTACTGTGCATCTGAGAGCAAACTGGGGTATAAGTGAGTGCATTCCTGTCGCGTGCTGAAATTTGCAAGTCCAGGTAGCTTATCAAACTGTCTGCAGGAAATATCCCCTGTCCAAGCGCCGTGCTGGAGATGCCATTTTCTTTGGTGGCGAGTGTGACTGCAATGAAAGTGGCAGCATTCATCACGTCGGACTTATGATGTGAGTTTCATTTCAGTTGCTTTCCAATTCACTGAGACTGACACGAATCTTAGGGATTCTGGCGATCGCATGTGGAATGCTCCCAATGATCGTGTCAACCAGGTTCAGGAAAATAGCATCAAGGGCTTTGGCGAAGAACCTTGCCCTTATGTTATTCGCTTTACATCGTAGAGACTTTGCTTGTTCTTGAGAGAATGGTTTTGATATACTGTGCTATATTGCGATAGAATTGAATTCGATGATGTGTAAAAGCTCCGGCAATAACGCATGGAATTGATTTCAACTCGAAATCATGACTTATGATAACTAGGAAAACGATTCATTATGGCAGAGCTTCTTAAATAGTGGCGGAAAGGATATGAGGCACCTCAACACTCCTACAACTCAACCAAGGACTTCCTGGATCACTTTTGATGCACGATCGACAATCAATTCAATCTCCGCTTTGGTGGTGTTGTACGGCGGAGCCAAGCAAATATGATCGCCATTAACACCATCTGCACCACCATTACCTGGCATCAGCGAGATTGCATACTCCGGTTTCAGGCCAGTTGCGTGGAGAGTCCATGCAATTTTCTTAGATGGAGGATAGGATTCCTTAGTACTCTTATTCTGCACGAATTCCAACTGTAAACCGGTAAGCTTATCTCAAAATATGTAAAAGCAGAGACGGGTAGCAACTTACAGCCCAGAAAAGTCCCCGGCCACGAATGTCACCAACGTGAGGGTTATCGCCCAATTTCTCGTGAAGGAGACAACCAAGATATTCACCCATTTCACGAACATTAGGAAGCAAATTGTCTTCTTGGATAATCTGTTGCACTCTGTAGGCAGCCGCACATGAAACAGGGTGACCCTGGTATGTCTGACTGTGAGCAAATGCTCCTGTGCCTCGAGTAAGGGTGTCGACCACATGCTTGTTCACCAGAAGACCAGCAATTGGAGCATATCCAGCGCCAAGCCCCTTAGCTATGGTCTGTAGGTCGGGAACAACACCTTCTTGCTCCCAAGCATGGAGAGTTCCGGTGCGGCCCATTCCAGACATGACTTCGTCTAAGATAAGTAGAGCCCCGTGACGCTCGCAGACTTCTTTCATGGCTTTCAGATAGCCAGGCAGCGCAGGCACACATCCTAGTGTCTTTCTATGGTCAGTTGTGGCTCATCCAGTCCCGAGATAATATCAAACTTACAGCTCCAGACATGGTCTCTGCCACAAACGCACATACTGTGTCTGGGCCCAGACTCTGAAACTTGTCCTCCAGTTCCTGTGCTAATCTTGCAACGTAGCTCTCGGTGCTTTCTCCGTCCTTCATTCCTCGATATGGATAGCACTGCGATACATGATGCACGTTCTTTGTCAAAATACTCTCATAGATAGCTCGGCGGGCAATATGATGCCCAACGGCGAGGGAACCAAGGGTATTGCCGTGATAGGATTGCGTGCGTGAAATAAATTTCACTCGTTGGGGCTGCGGGGTAGGAAGCTCTCTGAAGTACTGCATGGCCATCTTGACAGATGCTTCAACGGCCTCGGTGCCTGGGCGAATGGATACAAGTCAGTAATCAAGAGAGAGATCCGGCAGACGATGACGACTAACCTGAGCTCACGATGAACGCTCGAGACATCTTCCCACCGGTCGAGTCGACCAGAATCCTAGACAGATTCTCTGCGGCATTATTGGTGAAGTATAGCGAGTAAGCGTAAGGAATCTTTTGTAGTTGTTCCATGATAGCATCATGCACACGCTTATCGCTGTGTCCAAGGCAAGATACGGCTGCACCGCAGGTGGCGTCTCAGAATCTCGAGGCCATCATCAGTGATGAGATAGCTGCCTCTTCCACCGACTATGTTGAGAGGCTTCTGGCGAAGTTGGTGATAGAGAACGCCGCTATCATTGGTAGAAATATCCTTCAGTTGATTCCCTGTTGCGGCAGGGGTGGGCGAGGCAATAGTCTCGGGCTGGTAGTCACCCATAGTGGAACCGATATATGTAGTAGAACGAAAATACTAACTTCAAAAGTTTGGAGTAGTAGTAAGGGGACTCGAATGTGTATGTCTCATGAGATTGGAGCAGTTGAAGAGATGCCTTTTGAATTGGTCGGTCATACCGTAATTTATATGTGTTTGCCAGGAGCAGGCCGGCCGTTAATGACTTCCCCACGTCCTGAGACGTACAAGAACAACCCTCCAATTTACTATTGGCTAATGATAACTCATATTGCTCTGGTTCAAACGCCATAGCTGAGAGTATCTTCTCCAGTGCTCCAAATGGTGGTTAGGTATGGGGATTTTGTGGTTTATCGAGGAGAACACTAATCCCAAAAAGGAATTCTTTGTCGGCCCACAAGGTGCGGCGTCCAATTGGAAGGCGGTGGTTGGCGGCGGGGGAGCCATGGGTTGCAGATCGGCAGATCAGGCGATAAGAAATGCCTCCAGTATGCCAAGAGGCTCTAGCCATGTTCGACCGACCTAGTTCCTGGCATTTTGGATTGGCTATTAAGGCCGTCTCCGGTGTTTCAAGTGAGCTGTGATTTGTTCAAAGCGCCCTTCGAAATGACATCTCATATGTGTCGTGTAACCCGGAAACTGCATCTGTTGAAATCTAACTATGATGTGGGATGCCAATCGATGTTGTATCAACTATAGCCTCTAAGGTTCAGAATGAAAAAAGAAAGATATTTTATTTATAAATTGGAAAAAATCATTACTAACAATAATTCCAATCGTCTCCAACTTGAAGTTCCAAGGTTGGTCCAGTTGTGACCTCGGGACCTCACTGCCCGGCATATCAGAACATCCCAAGGTTGGAAACCTTGGAATATATGTTAAGTCGCCAAAGTTACTACTACCTAGGTACCTAGGAACTCAGTACTAGCAGGGCCGGTAGCACTACTACTTGCCCACTGGCAGGTGGAAGATTTCAGTTGAATCTTGAACTTGAAGAACCCCAGGGCTCCAAGTTGAACTTCCAAGTTGAAGTTTCGGGGCGTGATGTCCATTCCCACTGAATCGGGACAGGCAGTACTCTCTAAAATGACCATGATAAACAAAGCCAAACAAAGCAACTACTAATATCAAAAAAAATTGACCGAGCGATAATTGAGGACAATCATTAGTCTCTGAAACCAAATAACCACGCAATCTCACTGAATCGATCGCTGACCACCACAATGATGCAAATATACCAATCGAAATCATAACCAGGACCTGGATCCTGTCGAACCCACCATCTATGCACCATTCTTCCAGACAATTCTGTCCAGTGACAATTCACAAGACACATCATCCGAGAGCCGGAGCTTTTCCATCTATGAAAAGAAGCAGAACAAGAAGACAGCAAATACATGCCAGCGAAAATAAACACGCACGCAAAAAGCCATCGTCATAAGTCATAACATCATAACCATATTCCACAAACCCAACCAACCACACGACTGGCTGAGCCGAAAACTCCTCTCTCCCTACCTCATATCCAAATCCTAAGCCTCCTGCCTCGAATAAGCCAACTCCCTCGCCGAACCAGGGACCCCACTAACAATAACCCTCTCTCCACGCTCAAGCATGACCATTCGCTCGGGACTACTTCCACCACTCCAACTACCCCCACTACTACTAACCGAGGTATCTGTATCATCGTCTCGACTAGACTTGCGTCCCGTACCGATTGCAACGGGGATCCCCTGCACAATGCCGCCGTGATTTGTACCGGCAGGGTACTTGCCGTCATTGACGGAGAAATTGCGGCAGATCAGGTACGCGCGCATGGCGGCGCTTTCTCGGGCTAGCTCTTCGCTGCCGTAGACTGCGTCTGTCTGGTACTCGCGGTTGTTAACGCGTACGACGCAGGTGAAGCCCGTTGGTGAGGTGTATGCTTCGTAGGAGGGTTCTGGCCAGCGACGACGGCGGCAGAGGCCTGTTTTTTGTTGGTCAGTTAGTTGTTCTGTCGTTTTCTGGGCTTGGATTTCCTGTGTGTAGGGAAATATAGAAGAAAAAAAGTAGGTAGCAGATGAGGGGAGGGCTTGTGTGATGGTGCTGCTAGTAATATCCGGGGTGCGGATGATTTCTCTGAGATCTCAATTGAGATCTGCACCGGTGGAGACACAAGCGAGGAAATCGATTCGGGTCGAGGAGCAGCAGAGCATGATGAGGCTGTTCTGCGTCGGGATATACGTACTTGCAAGGTAGAGAATATAGTACATCTCGGCGAGTGGATCTTCAACGGCGAAAACGGCCACAGGGAATAGAGATAGAACGGAAAGCGGCGTTGCCACTGTCGACTTCGCAATCTGAGGCGCGGCTAGCCCGACAGCATTGAAGGGATTGGCTGATGAAGTGTGAGACGGGAGACGGGTAGGGCTGAGGCGGAACTGCGGAATGGAACTGCAGCTACAAGATATGCGGATGGCGATGCCCAACGGTGCTGTTGTCTATCATAGACTAGGCGAGCCAAGATCCGGGATAGTGGGATTTGGTCGGTTTTTCTTGCTTCTTTGTTCTTTGATTCAATGCTGACTGGTGGTTTTGCTGGTTGTAATTTTGACTTTCTTTGTTGGGTTGGGACTTTTTTTCTTTTATTTCCAATCCTTCCTTTCTGATTCAAACTTTTTTTTGGAGGCGTCGTTCGTTTCACGGGAAAGATGACCGAGACAAGATGCTAATGCAAATGTAACCACTCTGCTCACCACTCGAGGATTAGGAGGATATGGGAAAGGTGGAATATGGGGAGGAAGGGAGAAAGAAGGTGTGAATGAGGAACCAAAGGCTTGAAGAAGGAGGCATTAGAAAGATGCAACGCCACACACACATATACTGAATACACGTCCCCCTCCGTACCACGCAGGAAGGCAAAAATACAGGACGAGGTTTTGGTGCAAACAGAGAAAGAAAAATTAATTTTTTACCAGGCCTCGCAAGCTATGCTTAATTGATGGTTTTTTCCTCTACCGGAAACGGGTGGGGCATTTGCATTGATACAGAGTCATACCATGTGTTGTCCCCAGTGTATCCGAAACCTCTATGCGCCAGCACAAGAAGAGCAGCGACGGAGGTAGAGGGTCCAAGAGGGGGGACAAGGAATTGGACGGTTGCAATCGAGACAGCGCACAAAGGAGGCAAAAAAACCTGGTACCAAATACCTCACTAGGATCATACTAGAAGGCTAGGCTTACGAAGAGGGGGGAAAGGAAAATCATATTTGAATTCTGCAGGAAGGATTCGACACCGTTGTCTCAGTAGTCGCTGCAGAAACCTGAAGAGGTAAAAGATAGGACGGAGGAGACCGTTTCTCCTGGAGATTAGCATCTGCTTGCGCAGTCTAAAGAATTAGAGAGGGGGGGCTTTCCGGGACCAAAAGTACCCTGGTCATATGTAAAGTAAGAGGGAACCTTTGCTCTAATTCTGATACATCCTGAGAGAAAAACAAAAGAAACTCTCGGATTACCCTGGAACATGGGTCCGGGTTCAAGCCCGGGGGGAAGAACGGGAAATGTCTTGATGGAAAATTGAGTCGTATTGAGGTACAACGCTCTTAGGGAAGCATGTCATGGATGTCGCGGGAATGCGGTGACCAGATTGGCTGCGAACGAGGGGGAAAGGCCTCAATGGCCCAGGCTGTTACTCTGAAAAGGGCCCCAGGGCAGGGTCAGTGGGAAGCATCGTACTGTAAGCGTGCTGCGGTATGTTTTCTCGGTGGGTTTGGAAGCAATGATGCGCTGGCATAGCTGTTTGCCAGTCGAATCAAGCCGAATGGAGGCACGCCCTCTCCGGGGCCCGGTGGGCTTAGGGTTCCCCCGCCTGCAATTCGCCGATCGAAACAAAGAGCTCGGAGACTAAGCAGCTTATCCCGGGTGCTTTGTCTCGAGGCCTGGTCCTGGACTTGGACTGTAACTGAGCTCTTGGGTCGGGGATGGGGGCAGCTCGCCCCTTTTTTAGTTGACCAAATCTAGTACCTGATTTGAAGCTATCAAAATATCCGGCGACTGGGGTCTCGTCAGGGGCCAGAGAGCGGACAGTCGGCACGCATAATCTGCAGATACGGAACAAGTCCATTGCCCCTCGGTTCGTTTGAGTTTTGGCTTGGGCCCTTTCCATCGCCCCGCAGTAAACGCAGTATGAAAATTTGCCGCTGGATCTTCCTGGAGGCGCGCTGCAGGAATCCACCGCAAGATGGGCGTGATAGGAGCACTCTGTTGGCGCCAAGGAGGACCCGGGGTCGACGATGTTGTGCAGAACGCGCCTGGAATTGAGATCCTTTGGGATTGGAATTGGAATTGGAAACATAGTTTGAGCCTTAGGACATCGAATTTATTTTCGTCTTTTGTCAATCCACCCGGAGATGCGCTGGAAGAGATCAGATCAACTTCGGAGCTCGGGATCGCAGCCTCGAATGGAATCGAACAGACAAAGTTACTCGACAGGCATCAGATGCAGTGATGAGTTGGCATGCGGTGGGGGTGCAATTTATTTGCAGTGACGATGACTTTTGCCAAGTTGGGCCTCGTGCAGGTTAGTGAATGGCAAACAATGTTCATTTTGCTGCAGTTGAGAGGTGTGGGTGGCTACAATACGGTTGATATTTAGTCCACTACTCCGTACAGAGTATATGTTGGCATTCCTTGGAAGGTTTACATCTAGAGTCACATACAGACATCAATGCAACGAAAACGCCAATATTCCTAGTAGTATCCGAAACTTGCTTGGACTAAGAGAGAAACTAAATAACAACGCGTGCAATCATTGCCGATGTCGCACTGGCCAGATTGATCCCTTGCATCTCGCATGCCCTGATTCTAGCACTTTCTCTCTCTCTCTCTCTCTCTCTCTCTCTCTCTCTCCAGCTCATGAAGCTTGGACTCATCATTCGCGTGGCTCCCACGGGGAGCCCCGACCGGAGTGAAAAAAAAGTAAAAAGTAAATATTTTCCCAAAACCCCCTTGGACGGAGCTGTGGTGGGCCTCCCCGGCCCAGTTCCTTCTTTAGGTGACTCCTGCAGGTCGGACGCGTTGGTCATTCTCAGCCTCCTCGTAAAACCCATGGAGTTATATCATTCATTGAAGGTGTCAAGCCAGATAGGTTGTGTTTCACCATTGAATGGTGATCAGTTCACGCCCCTCGGCCGCTAGGTTACAAAGGGTTCCGCTTCATACCAGAGCCGCATCTTCTCGGCGGCTTGGTGCGGGATTACATAGATGGGGTGGAACGCCGTTAACCGGTCGCTCTTCTCAAATACATTTTCATCGGCGCTAGTTGGTTTCGACCGCCACGAAAATGCCGAGGAGAAATTTTTGTTGGCACAGGGGCTGGAGTCCGTGCGATAATGGTGGTGTTGTGTTGCGCTCAAGCCCGTGAGAACGTAGCAGCTGTGGTAAGCATCCGCATGCCTGAGTGTGACGGTCAGTGACTGCTGCAAACAAATATCATAAGTGTACCCGGGTACCCAAGCACTCACTTTCCAGGCTTATCGCGGAGACCCCCTTGGGGTGTTGGCAACACGCGAGAATGTATCGGTCCAATCCCTCGCGGCTGAACAGACTGCCAACCGTTGTTGACGGTGCACTAGCAGATTGCGGCTTGCCGTCCAAGGCAGATTGTAACAGTGGCCAACATCCGCCTACCCAGTGACTGTAGCAACCGTCGACGAGCTTGTTGGTACGCCCGGAAAACCCACCCTCTGGAGCATACTGACGTGCAGATAGCCAAGACAGCAGCAGGGGTAGATTCATGTGCCTTGAGGCGAAGTCAGTGTGACAGATCTAGATGAGCAGTTGGGAGGTCATACTTTGCAATGGTCTTTTCGGGAGGACCCAAAATGGAAAGACATGCCAATGCACAGAAAGCATAAGCACCATGCGCTTCAACACCGGGGCTCCCGGAGATACCACCTTCAAAAGACTGGCCTTTTAAGTCGGGTTAATACAAATTGTTTACGCAAATTGCATGGTACTAAAGTAGGGAGGTGTCTTACATCGCGACAGATACTCCCAAGGCCATCTGTAAGATTGTCAAAGCCCGCGAGTCGGGCCTCGGAAGTGGGAGGCAAGTCCAGGGGCAAATTTAACAGCGATATAATGACCGATGCGCAGTATGCGCCGCTGCAATGACGGGAACGATTAGAACGAAACAGGAAAACTTAGATCTTGCATCGATTGAAGCTGGAGACTTACCGCACGTCCTCTTCTCCGCCTTCGCAAACGCGAAATCCACCATCAGCCTGCTTCAAGCGGCCCAGCCATTGCCACCTAGAGACTTGGTCAGAGGCACGAGCTTAACAAGCTAAGGCAAACCCTCTAGGCGATAACTCACATTGCCTGCCGATCCACCAGTGCGAAAGCGTCCGAGCTCCCGACCATTGCGAGCGACAGAACGGCTGCATAACTGCTCGCGAGATGAGATATTTGACCATGCCCGCCACCAAAGCCACCCGTGGGGTTTTGCATGGGCCGAATTGATGCAAGCACGCTGCAGGAGCATAATTAGTGACATGTTTCTCAATGAATCTTGCTTCCTGTCATGTTCGAGTCTTCGCAGGAAAAGAGAAGGGGTATAAAGCAAAAAGCAAAAAGATATATGATCCATATGAGAACCAAATAAGGATAACATTGTGGCAATGAAGCGATTGAATCCGTGAAACAATCAATAATGTTGGTGACGGAAAAGCAAAAATGTCTGCAGCCGTGCCATATGGCCCGGGGGAACGAGAAAAAAAAGCAAACAAGGAAAAAAAGAAATAACACACCGTTGATGGACCCGACTGACATCCTCCCCCAGAAGAGTTAATCCTGCCAACCCCCAGTAGATCATCCAGGGGCGGCTGGAGTCCATGGCCACGAAGCCAGCGGGATAATCTTCCAAGGAATCATAGAGGTATTCGACATGATCGTCACGTTGGAGGGCAGGTACACCAGATGCATTAAAGGGACCCTTTTGGAGGTCGGAGATACCCTTGAGAAATGGCAGGCATTTGGAGAGCGTTGCGTCCTGCAGATCGGTGGTTTCTGTCACGAGCGGGTCGCGGATGGGCGGCGGCTGCGTGAAAAGGGCTGGGGTCCCCGGGTGAGGAGCTGCTTGGCTGGCCATTTTCCGGCCTTGAGATGAAGTGGAGCGAGTGTCCGGGCGCTTCTCCTGATTCTGATTTTGTTTCTGGGTCTGCTTCTGCGGTTTCTGTGCCGTGGTGAGGGGTGCAGATTTAAGATGTGCGAATGGGAAGCAAACGTTGCGACGTTTCCCCGCGACCGTCGGCATATGAATTAAAAGGAATTGGATGAAATAGGATGGGTGCAATTGATATAAATCGAGAAGAAGTCAATGGCACTGAATGGGGTACCAATGGGAAATTATTGATTGTTGCTGTTCCATGAATGAACCCGTCGAGGATTGACGTTGGCATTGTTCTTCCTTCCGCGTTCTGCCTCCCCCTCCCCCACTTCACTTCCACTGCTCCCTCTGGCGGGGCCCAACTCCAGTTCACTACACTACACTGCACTGCTCTGCACTGTTTGTCTACTGCCAGCATGCTAGCATGGCGACACCATATTATAGCCAATGATTCTAATTATGGATCCTTGACAGCGTGCAGGAGTTAAACTGAATCCTCCGGCGCCTGCATGTCACGACTCCACCCATACTCCCGTCCAATGCATACGAGTACACGGAGTACACGGGGTTGATGTGATCTATCCAATTTTTACGTCTGCACACGCAAAGTGGCTAGTGGTGTCATCGCCGTGTCTCATCGTGCAGAGTGGCTTGTTTCTCTTCCCCTCCTTGCTTCTTGCTTGCAGATGGCCCAACCGTGCAAGAACCCAACCCCTTCGCCTTCCGAACGATTAGACCTGTCGAGAACTTACATTCTGCCCGGACTATGATCAAGGTTCATGCTCATGCTCATGCTCATGCTCATGCTTCTCACAATTTGCTAAACGTGAACTCGCCGAGCTAGTATGCTTCGCAGAGATCATCGTCATCGGCTTATCCCTGTATGTCCACCTGTTCGGGGCCCGCTCCGGCCTCGACGCGGCCAATCTACTTCTTACGGACCAGGTTATGAGTATGACTATTCCATACTGGGAACAAGAAAGAAAGAAAAAAACTCTCTGCATGGCCCCCACCGTCCATGAGGGAATCCCAGGGAGAGACCCTGGAATATACGAATCACGGGCGTTGTGCACATCACCGACCACGATGATTGGACCCAAACCGGGACACCATTGCACTATCAACGATCGCATGTCAGATCGGCTCATGCACGGTCCTGGAGGATTGTGTGCTGGACCTTTCCCGGTCATACCTATTCCTATTGCCACAGCCTTTCAACACTCGGTTACTCCACTGATCTCCCGTCCCGCCATTCCCGTGGGCGAGACGCGGGACTCTCTCCCACGGTCCCCATTCATTTGGTCCAGCACTACATACATACATACATCCCTCCTCCAGTAAACAAATACACCACAACAAATATCAGGGCTCTGATCAACTGGTGTACAGACCAAAAAGAAGATTCAAAATAAGAATCTCATCTCACCAGGCGACCCGGGGAGAGGGGGCCAGCGACCCAGGCCGCATTCCGGCCATGCGGGATCATGGGACCAGAAACTAGCGATTCGCACTGCCTCTCCAAGTCTCCAAAGTCTCCAACTTCAACAAATCTCTGCTGGGCCAACAAATCTCGAGGAATCGCAGCCCTCGCGTGGCAGTATGGCCCCATCCATCGACGCCAGCGAGCAAAGCGCACGCATCAGCCAGCCTCCACTCTCCACACGATTTTCCCCTAGCGCATCTCTGCTCACCGCTGCTTTGTCCCCCCCACCGCCTCACTCGCCCACTTCTCTCATGGCTGTGTGACTCTCTCTGAAGAAGGCCTTTTCATCCAGGCTGGCCCTTTCCCTTCTTCTCCTTCCTGCCTTTCCCACGTTATTGGCATCAACAAGACGCCATGTCAAATGTCGATTTATCCAGCGACGGCCTCATCGGCGTCGATTACGACGCCAGAGGCTATCTCCAGCAGGCATGGCCTGTGGCGGCCGACCAACACCCCTCACGGTCAGACGAAACCCACGACCTGTCGCCTCTACAAACAAGCGGTCACCCCCTGGAACAGTCGGTGGCCCAGGATCCCAACCTCTTGGTCGACTGGCAATTTCAACAGCTCCAGGCCCCTCATCAGCAACAACTACCATATTCGCCCGAGGACCATTCATCAGCACCGCAGTTTACCGCCGCTAGCTATGGCATGGCCATCCAATCCTCCCCAGTGGACCTCATGTCTGGGCCCCACGGACAAATGAGCACCGGTTTTGTCGACAGTTCCTATCACTTACCCCTCTCCGCCCCTGTCGATATGGTACCATTCACCTACCACGACTTCCAGACGGATCTGATGGGGTTCCCGAATTCGCTCACAGATGTCTCATACGCGGCCCCGCACCCGGTTCTGGAGAGCAGTTCGCCGACAGACACCTACCTTGAAGTCCGTTCCCTATCGAGCAGCGATAATGGCTGGAGCACGGTGGATCACCGGCGTTCCTTCGACTTTGGTTTCCCCGAGCAAGGCATATTCGTCAACCCCACCCAGACGTTGCACGACCGCAGTCTCTCAGAATCGTCTTACTCGACCTCCTACGGTAGCTTTGTCGACCTTGCCAATCCGATCAACTCTCCCAGCTCTGAGAACAACATGGATCTGCCATACAACAACCCCCATGGTGTCAGTCTCGCAGGTACCTCGCCAACCAGCAGCTCCATTGTACGCCACGAACGCTCTTCACCGGGATCCCGCTCCCCATCAGCCGTCAGCCCTAGCACAGCCATGGTACGACCTATACCGGTCCCCATCAAGAAGTCTACTTCGCCAACTCGTTCTTCTGGTTCTCAATCTTCAGCATCACCGCCCAGCCGGAAACCATCAAGAAAGAGTCCCATTGCGGCCAAGACGGCGGAGACCAAGGTCCGCAAGCAATCCCAGACTGGCAAACCAGACTCTGAGAAGCGGGTTGGTAAGCGGAAGGGTCCTCTCAAGCCTGATCAGCGTAAGCAAGCCAGTGAGATCCGGAAGCTGCGTGCCTGCTTGCGTTGCAAGTTCCTGAAGAAGACTTGTGACAAAGGCGAGCCCTGTGCCGGATGTCAGCCGTCGCACGCTAGGTTGTGGCAAGTGCCGTGTACCCGCATCGACATCAAGGAGATTGGGTATTTCATGAAGGACTGGAAGGCGGACTACGAGAGACACATCTCGATGGGCTTCTCCGTTGGCAATATCAAGGGATTCTCGGACCAAGAACGTACCTTGTTCATCACCCATGGCTATGGCCAAATCCTACCTATCAATGCTCGCGAGGTCTACGTCCGTGACGAGCAGTGCTTTACCATCGACTGGGTCGAAACATTGCACCGCGAGCCTACACAATATGAAGTCGAGACCGCCAAACTCTCCGCTGGAATGGAGGGCATCTCGCACGCCATGCTATCTGACTACCTGGACCGACACATCGACGGCAACGGCACCTTCGAAAAGTTCGTAGACGACTACTTTGAAGGAACGCCGTTCCTCACCCAAATGCTCAAGACCGCATTCCGCTACTACTACCGCACTAAGCTCCCCGTCATCCGCAAGGCCTTGAAGCTGATCATCGCTTATAACCTGACTCTTCACGTTACGATGGTCGAGGGACTGGGCTCTGAGGATGATTTCATGGGCAAGATCCAAGAACCGGGCTCCAAGTTCCGCGGCAAGACCATGGCCCCAGTGATGATCAACTTCCAGATCAAGTGCGCGATGGCGAGCATGTGGCGTGAACTCCAGAAGGATGTCCTGGAGGAGCTCTCCTCACTTTACTCGAGTGTGTACAGTGGTGATAAGCTGAAAAACTGGCCGACTATCTTCATCCTGGCCTCAATTCTGCTGGCCGTATGGGAGGAGATGCAGTTCGATTGCCATTATCGCACACCCGACCAGGCTGCTGTCGACAAGTTTTGCACTGATATGGAGACCACTCCCGTCGGTGTCATTGTCGGTTTGTTCCAGGCCATCTCCCAGAAGCTGCCCCCCCTTTACCGAGTGGGACTCGCAGAAGCACCACCAACTGCTGTACTCCAACCCGGATGTGTGCAACACCATGATCGAGGTTCGCCAACATGTTGAGCAGCACGGTAAGCATTTTGAACCGCTTTCCTCTTTTAGTCCCCTCAAAATACTAACTTTCCCCTCAGAGAGCTATCTGCGTGGTCGCACCGGCACCAAATTCAACCGCGACGATTTTGACTGCCTTTCCAACAAATTTGTTTCCCGCCTTGTTATTCGTGCGAACTGAGAGACGACCAGATGATGCGCATGCGCATGATAACGATGATGTTTTCACCCACGACTACTGTTTTCCTTCAGCGACTGCTGTCCAGCGATTGAAGATTTTCCCGTCCACGATTTTTGTTTTCGCCACGCCCTGGATGATACAAGAATTCAATAAACTAACCCCTCACGCGAAACGGTCGTGACGATGCGCGAGCGCGTCTCCCCCGCTCTTTTATGAAACCAACCCCTGGGCTCTCTCCTAGTGAGATCGAACCCCTTGTGCTCTTTGTGACTCTTTTATTTCCCTCTGGTTTTTCTTGTTTCCTTAGCATTGTGGTTCCCAGCAACCGCCTATCTTTCAACCTTTCCTTTCTCTTTGGTGTCTACTCCTGTCAATTGTTTTTACTGTTTTCAACCTCCTGTGTTTTTTACTGTCTTTTGTGGTTATACCTTGCTCGCATAGCTCTCAGCGATGAACGAGGATTATGAACGTTATGACTGTGTACGGCCGACTTATAACTTGTTTCTTTTTCACTTTCCCCCCAATTCCGTTGTGACAGCACCTGGCTGGTCAACACCAGTCCCCGTCCCGGTTTCATCTTGAAACTGAAAGTCGTGAGTGTTGTCCGTCTCTCTCCTCGGTCGGGGAGAGATCGTGCCAGGGGAAAAGCGTGGGCACCCGTGTCCAACTGTTGTCGCATTTCTTTTTATCGTTTACTGCATGTCTTTTAGTGAAACCGGCGTGCCGAGAGGCGTCCGGGATGGGTGGAATTTTCCTAACGGCCTGCGTGTCTATATATCCTGAATGGATCTACCATTGCCACTGGCATCTATCCATAGTGTACTACCTGTAGTTCTGTCCACTCTATACTGTATCGGCAGTCGTCCGGATCCGGGGTCAGCTGACAGTCACGTGCAAGTATACGTAATCCACTTCGGGTGCATCACTGGGTACTTCGATGGTTTCAGACATTCTCACTGGCCAGAATGTCACTCAAATGGAGTTCGATGGTCTAATCTTGTCCTCAAATGTGGACACGCCCTGGTCCACCCCCTCCTTTTGCGATAAGCCCCTACTAACGTCATTGCCCCAGCCACTGCTGCCTTCGTACTTGTCATTGCCTGCAATGGCCCTGCGCCCCGGCAACACGGCACCCGTTTCGGAGCGGCAACTTGGGTGAAAACTTTGAATGTTATAGCGTAGCGTACTAGTAGAATGAGAGATGGAGTATTTCGGCAGGTACCAGCCAATGTACATGTAGAACCAGAAGAACTGGAAGAGCCTAGAGTGGCCACTGGTGGCGTCAATGACCCTGTTCCTCTTGACTCATCGGCTTTCTAGCAACTTCCCATCCTCGCGCTTGCTTCGTTTGTCACTGCCACTGCCACATCTGACTAAGGAACTCTCGCCCCCTCCCGGCTTTCATACTTAAGGCCTGTTCCCCTCTTTCACCACCGTCCCCTTTCCTCTCTCTCTCTCTCTCTCTTCTTCTCACACCCCCCTTATCATACCGCATACTCTCCCACACCACCAAACTACCTGATCGCACTCCCACCATCATGCAGATCTTCGTCAAGACCCGTGAGTCTCCTTCCTGCGTCTCCCCCGGCAAGGCCGCATCGCATCGCACCCGATGCGGCCTTGTCGCGATGTTGACCGCCACTTGCCAACACCGCATCCTCTACTCTCCTCCCTTTGAATCTTCCCTGCTAACTCGCCACAGTCACCGGCAAGACCATCACCCTCGAGGTTGAGTCCAGCGATACCATCGACAATGTCAAGTCCAAGATTCAGGACAAGGAGGGCATTCCTCCTGACCAGCAGCGCCTGATTTTCGCAGGCAAGCAGCTTGAGGATGGCCGTACTCTTTCCGATTACAACATCCAGAAGGAGTCTACTCTGCACCTGGTTCTCCGCCTGCGTGGTGGTATGCAGATCTGTATGTCTTCCTCTATTACCGTCGCCTCACCTCACTTAAGAATGACCCATACTAACTGTTTATAGTCGTCAAGACCTTGACTGGCAAGACCATTACTCTTGAGGTTGAGTCTAGCGACACCATCGATAACGTGAAGTCCAAGATTCAGGATAAGGAAGGTATTCCTCCTGACCAGCAGCGCCTGATCTTCGCAGGCAAGCAGCTTGAGGATGGCCGCACCCTTTCCGACTACAACATTCAGAAGGAATCCACCCTTCACCTGGTTCTCCGCCTGCGTGGTGGTATGCAGATCTTCGTCAAGACCCTCACTGGCAAGACCATTACTCTGGAGGTGGAGTCATCGGACACAATCGACAATGTAAAGAGCAAGATTCAAGATAAGGAGGGTATTCCTCCTGACCAGCAACGTCTCATTTTCGCTGGAAAGCAACTTGAAGATGGTCGCACTCTCTCTGATTACAACATTCAAAAGGAATCTACACTGCATCTGGTTCTCCGTCTCCGTGGTGGTATGCAGATCTTCGTCAAGACCCTGACCGGCAAGACTATTACACTGGAAGTGGAATCGTCGGACACGATCGACAACGTTAAGTCGAAGATTCAGGACAAGGAGGGCATTCCTCCTGACCAGCAACGTCTTATCTTTGCCGGTAAGCAGCTGGAGGACGGCCGGACTCTTTCCGACTACAATATTCAGAAGGAGTCTACTCTCCACTTGGTCCTCCGTCTTCGGGGTGGTCAGTAAACGCTCTTTATGATTGCTCGACTACGAGAGGTCCTTTGTGGCCTGCATGGCGTTTGGTCGGTTTCGAGGCTGCGGCTTCTTTCCTCTTTTTTTTCTTGATGGGTTTACGGGCATAACACTTCTCTTTCTCGGACACCCCTGACGGTGATCCATAGTCCTTTATCTATGAATTGAAACTCGCTATTCTTGCGGTTCACTAATATCTTTCCCACGTAAACATGCATATACTTCATAGTCAATATTCGTACCGTAACATCCGTCGCTTACTTCCACCCTAATAATATTTCTCGCTGACAGCCTGGGCACAAGCCATTCAATAATCGCCACTCCGTGTCAAAATCAGACGGACTTAAACAGTTTTTGCCTCTCGCCACCCCGGCCGTCCTTCAAGGCTGCCCTGGAACTGGCAGATCCGGGGATGATTAGTCATTGCCTTATCGCAATCAACCCACGTCGATGGGAACAACTGGGAAGTTCCTATGGCTTGAAACCCCCAGATGATCGATCTTATTGATGCCCATCCACAGTGTAAAGGGTGTAATCGCCCGGGATGCCCGCCTACTTCTATCATCTGATTCTTGAATTCTTTCCCGGCCCACAAAGCTCGTCGCCGACAACCTCGCTCGCTCTCGAATCCGCATACGAAGCACTGCGCCCATTCCAGAACATCGCCAGCTCCAAGTCCACTCATGCCTCCAGCGCAAATACCAACAACGAACTGACTCTCAACAAAATATCACGACATCGTTACCCTGACTCATCGAGTGATAGCGGACACCCAAGCGCCAGCGCAAAGACAGCTACAAGTACACCGAACAAAAGCCCCTCCTCATCACACACCCCATCTACCTCACTATCATCCTCCAATAACTCCACCGACATCCGTTTCGACAGTATCGCCATCGAGTGCATTGATATGGTTACCCCGGACTGTCCGCCGAAGCGTGCCCGCGCCCGCAGCACCGCGCAGGAAGAAGATAATCTCGTGGCGGCGGGCATCGGCACTGAGATCCTGAGGTGGAGTACGCACAAAGGGTCGCTATATCCCTCTCGATCAGAAAGTTGGCGAGAGTATCTGGGGAATCGTTCATTTGTATCGCGATGCGCGGGAGTCGTCCTTTCTTGCCGATGATGATGATTACCCGACCTATCTGAAAGGGTCTTCTGCTGCTGTTGCGCGACGTGGGCCCGACTCCGGGGGCTATGATGCTATCGCTGCTGGCAGTGGTCCGGGCGCGAGTAGCAAGCATGGGACCAGACACGGACATGGACATGGAAGGTCGCGGTCTGGAGCGCGGAGCCCTGATTTATCGGGATACCCGTTTCCTGTGATTGCGTCGTCGTCGGCACAGGGCCCTGAGGAGGATTGCACGACGCTGTGCATCCTGGCTGTGCCGGCTTATCTTTCTGGTTCTGACTTTCTGGGTTTTGTGGGCGAGAAGACTCTTGATGAGGTTTGTCATTTTCGAATGATTAGGACCTCGCGTGCCAATCGGTACATGGTTTTGATGCAGTTTCGGAGTGGGAGGAAGGCGAGAGAATGGCAGAAAGAATGGAATGGGAAGGTCTTCAATAGCATGGAGGTATGTCTCCCCTCTTTCGTCTTTTTTGTTGCTTGGGGGTATATCGGTTTGCTAACTGCCTCTAGCCTGAGACCTGCCATGTTGTCTTCGTCAAGTCAGTTGAAATTCAGGTAGCTGAGCCGGGATCTCTTTCTGGTTTCTCGTCCGACTCTGGCGCACTTCCGCCTTCCAGCAGTCAAGTCACGCCCCGACACGGTGTTGTCTCATCAACTGGACAAGCAACTTTATCCTCGAAACCCCTCGCCCCTCCAACACCAGCTCTCATCGAGCTCCCAACATGTCCCGTCTGCCTCGAACGAATGGACGAAACGACCGGCCTATTAACAATCATCTGTCAACACGTATTCCACTGCACGTGTCTCCAAAAGTGGAAAGGCAGCGGCTGCCCCGTCTGCCGCTACACCCAAGACGAATTCCGCAAAGCTAGCCAAGTGCCCTGCGAAGACGAAGACCCCGCCGAATGCAGCGTCTGCCAATCTGAGCTTAACCTCTGGGCATGTCTGATCTGCGGCAGCGTCGGCTGCGGCCGATACGACGGTGCCCACGCCTTCGACCACTGGAAACAAACCTCGCACGCCTTCGCCATGGACCTTACCTCCCAACGAGTCTGGGACTACGACGGCGACGCATACGTCCACCGTATCATCCAAAGCAAACCAGGCGGCAAACTACTCGAACTTCCAGCTGCTGATCACTCCGCGCTGGATCCGCCAGACTGGGAAGACGCCGTCCCACGCGAGAAACTTGAGAATATGAGCGTGGAATACACCCACCTTCTCACGAGCCAGTTGGAAAGTCAACGCGCGTATTTCGAGGAGATTGTTGAACGGGCTGCGGATAAGGCGTCGCAGGCTAGCGCGGCTGCAGCAGCTGCCGAGGCGGCTTCTTCCAAGACTACGATGGCTTTGGAAGATCTTCAGTCTAAATATGATGCTCTCTCCGCTGAGACGATACCGGGTCTCGAGCGTGATCGAACACGTCTTGAGAAAAGAGCGGATAAGTTCGAGGCACTTGCCAGGCGGATGGAGAAAGATTATCGCGAGGAGAAGACTATGAATCAGTCTCTTTTGGAAAGGCTGGATCTTCTTTCTGGAGAGAATACGACGCTGAAGGCTGCCAAGACGGATTTGGAAGATCAGAATCGTGATCTGACCTTCTTTATCAGTAGCTCGCAGCAATTGCAGGGCCAGGGGGAGGATATTGTTCAGGGAACTGTTAGTGTTCCTGAGCCTGAGGTGAAAAAGAAGAAAAATAAGGGCAAGGGGAGAAAGTGAACGACGATTGATTAGATTAGTCTCTTGACCCTTGTTTTCTAATAGCGGGGGTGCTTTGCTTTGCATACTAGATCTTTCTGGTGCATGGGGGTTCGAGAGTTGTATGATTATGATTTATGATTTGAATGAAACTCAACGAGAATACCTCGGTTTACACCGCGTTGTCAACTTGCATCTGTCGAGATATTCTGTAGTTTTATTAAAGCCCGGTCTACTGGGCTGCACACCTGGGCAGACAACTTGAACTTGAACAAGTAGATGTGAGCCTTCCAACTCGAAGCTTGAATACTCAGGAAACCTTGAACATGCTCAGGTACTGGCAAGGAGACTGGGATAGCTTTGGAAATTATTGGGCCTCCCTACCTAACTACATAGGTATGAACTTGAAGCTGGATGCAGGCTATAAATCTTGGAAAGCTATTCAAGTTTCTACTTTATAATTCAGAACAAGCACCGCCAAGTTACCAGTATGTTTCTCTTGAGAAATCGCGCTTCTAGTAAAGTTATTGTACAAAATGCATATATCTTACAAGGATATCTATTTTACGCCCTCAAATTCCCTTCTTCACAGCCCAGAAGTAATTTCCCCAATCCTCGGACCCGGGCACGATCTTCCACCCCAGGCCAGGCACATAAATAGTCCCAACGCACTTCCAGCGCATACCATCCAGTGCAGCGGGACCCGCGCGGGTCACGTTGGTATCAGCAGCACGCATGAGACCCTCCTGGGCCCAGGAGTACAATTCCGAGGGGTTCACAAACTTACTCCACTCGTGCGTGCCGCGTGGTACGACGCCAATGGGCCAGGGTGCTTCGGCAATGACTTGGTTTAAGATCCAAGATGGGAATGTGCGTGAGATGGTTGATCCAATGAGCCAGCCGCCGGGCTTAAGGGCTCGCAGGCAGTTTGCAAGGAAGGCTTGGGGTGTTGTGGTGGTTGGGTCGATGTGTTCAATTACTTCGAAGAGGGTGACCATGTCGAATTGCTGGTGTCCAGTTGGTGAAGATGAGGATGCGGGGGTGGAGGCGGAAGTGGAAGCGGGCGTGGAACCAGCAAGCACGTCTTCTAGTGTGGTGTTCAGGTATTGGAAGCGGCCACTACGCATGTGTGCCTCCACGGTGGGATCCATGCGTGCGTGGTCCCGTGCGATCTGGATAAGTGTTGTGGTTGGGTCGATTGCTGTCATGGAAGCGGCACGCGTGGGCGTTGGGGCTGAGGCGGCGCGATCGAGCGGGATGGTGCGCGCAAGCGATTCGGCAAAAATTCCCCCACCGCAGCCAATGTCGAGGTAATCGAGGTTCGCCGCGGTCTCGGGGGTCGAGGATTGGGGAACTGGGGAGCCAGCTGGCGCACTGTCTGCCAGACACGACGCAATGAATTCGTGACGGAGCGGGTTCATTAAGTGGAGGATTCGTGATGGTCCCATGGGGTCCCACCAAGAGCTGGCGAGCTTGGAAAAATGCGAGACCTCATCGGCAGAGACGGATGATGTAGAATGCGATCGGTTGTTGGGAGATCTTTGTGATAGGAGAGAGGGAAGACGAGAGGTGTGACGATATAAGGGTCCGGAGCTGGTTGGAGCTGTGCGGAGTGCGCGGAGCGCGAGTGATCGAGGCCGGAGGCTTGCCATTGTGCTCAGTCAGATCTAACTGGTTCAGACGGACCAGTGGTGGAAATGCGTGTTGTGTAATCGGGCGAAGTCTGGACGATTCGAATGGTCTGCGAGATTGGGTCGATAGAGATGGGCAGAAGGACTAATTCACAATTAGCGCACTGGCACAATCATTGACGATGATATTTAGAGCAGTATAACACCCACCTAGAATCAGTGCATCATCTTCATTGCTTGTCTAGAGGGCCGACCGGGAAGAAGGTCCTAGGTAGGTTGAAGCTATCCACATATCGCGACTCGGAAAATTTGCGGGCCGATACGGTTGGAGGCCGAGGTGCCCGCTGGAGGCCATGTCTCTCTTACTCCAGGGCTATCTGTCTTCAAGTTGTCTACCTAATAATAAGCCCTGAAGAGTCGAGAAAACCTTGTCCGAGTAATTCTATCATCTATGCCAGGAAATAGTATGTTGTATTTACACCTGATATTTGAAGCTAGTAACTTCTGTTTGCATTTCTACTAGGTGGTAGTTAAGTAATAGTTAGTTAGTAGATAGTACAAGTAGAAGGTATATCGACAATAGAACTTGAAGCACTAGTATAAATAATCAATTCTATTCTAATTAACTCCAAATGGTATCATAAAAGTCATAAAAATCCGCATATAGACCCGAGTCAAACATATCTTAGGAAAGCAGACAATCTTGATAATCAAGTTCAGCTCCTTGGGGCATCCCAGCCATGGTAATAGTCTCGATTCGCTTGCAATCGGCTTCATCCTGCAAGTCTCTGTTTGCGAATGAATCCCATCCATGCTCAACAGCCCATGCACTTAGCTGATCAGGCGTGGCAGCGCCAAGAGTAGGAAGAAAATTGCCAGTAGTGATTGTGCAATCCAAACCTAACACCGACTTGCAGCGGTCTAGTAAGTCCGGAAACAAATAAGATGGCGAGCCACGGATCTGCGACAGCGTGTGAAGTATACCCCAAAGCAGCTCCCGGGGATCGATCGTCGACTCGGAAAGCCGGTCGACAGCTTTCGAGCCAAGGGATCGGGTCACGTCGGCGACTGACGATCCCATGTCGAAGAGTTTTTGCTCCTGTAGTAGTTCAATTAGTATTCGTACACCATATGCTTCGAATTAGAGACCCGAAGGAGATCTTACCATTCCGATCCCATGCGCATCTACTGCACCCTGAGATGCAGATCCAATCACGCTCATCACGGCTTTTCCGACCAATACCGGGAGGTGAAAGGGCAATACCGAGTCATCACGCGAGCCTGGTTGGGTCGCATGGCTCATGGATAGCTTCCACATCATAGATTGTAACCATTGTTGTGTAATCAAGATATCCACTTGTTGAATCTCGAGAACACCCTCCAGTGATATGGGCTTGCAAAGACTGGACTGGATAACGGATGTCGGTGGTCTCTCGACCAGTCCATCGCCCCCTCCAGCGGCAAGCCAGTCGTAAAGATTAGCGGTGAGCTTCTCGAAGATATTGATCAAGTTGATAAAACCGTATGCTAGAATTGGATCTTCCGAGCACAGGACCTGCGGTTTGTGGATCGAACTGCGAAGCATGACTGGCCTAGACTGTTGAAGCGCGTAGCCCCTGATTCAATTAGCGTGTAACTCTTTCAGGGGTCGAATCGAATGCCAACCTTTCTGTTATAAATAGAAGCCAGAAGACTCGTCGCCTTTCCTCGGCCTCTTCTGGCGGATACTCTGCGTATCTTGACTCGCGATTCAAACCCAAAGTAAATACCATCGAAGTAGCCTGGCATAGATAAAACCAGGCTTGGCTTTGCTTGTCGAGATTTCCGTAGGAAGCAAAAAGAAAGAAAGACGTGAGAAGGTTCTCGATACTGATCTCTTCCACGATGTCACATTCGCGTCGCGCCCGCACGGCCTCCGCCAATAATTTCTCCCCGCAGACGAGGGAATGGCCATCGCCTAGACTTTGCAGGCGAATAGGATCCGGAACCGGAGTAGCTCCATCAAGCTTTAATTGGATATGGGTCGCCGCACACAGTGATGCCAGGAAAGCGTACCGGTGGGGAGAGAGTAGCTCTGGCTGGTGACTGTCGCGGCGCAACTCTTCTCCTCGGACGACCGGTATGATAGGAAACAAGTACTTCAAATAAACATTCACATGCGCCAAAAGAATCTGGGGTGTCAAGCGGGGCGAACGCGGGAGTGCCTGGCTGTTCGCCCATTCCGCTGTTGAATCCGTCGAATCCGGAGAGGAGACCAGCTCCGGAGGCGGTAGTTGGGAGAGTGTATCGGAGGCATCTTGAGAGGAAGCGTAGTGCGCATCGGAGATTGCAAATGCTGGCGAAGCAGGCGAACTCAGTCTAAAGGCGGAAGAATCGGGAAAATTGTCCTGGTCGGCATAGAATTGATCTCGGGGGGGTATCGCTTCGGGCCGAAAGGGGATGAACGGGGGCGAGAGGGTACAGCGTTCGGAATTTGGGGCCTTTTCGGCGCAAGACGTCGCTGTACGAGCAAGAGAGCAATAGGCGTTGGCATTTGTCGCAAGGCAGCTCGCGCGAACATTTGATCTTACGCCTGCGACAATTATCACATGCTTGTTTCGAGGATGGTTTGGATGGCGGTGCGAGGTCCATGGTTTGTCGCAGACTGGCGAAGAGAGCGTCAAGGGTCAGAGTAAAAGATAGTTGTAGTGCATGATACCAAGACAGAGTGACAGAGTAGTAGGTGTGGATGATAAGTTTAAGTTCCACTGGTGGGCTCACAGCTGGGCTGGGATGGTTGAATCATGGAATCATGAAATCATGAAACCATGAAGTTTAAGACTATTCTGGGGAAAAAGCGCGGGGCCTGCTAGCAGTTCAACCCCGCAAGGCCCATGCACGACGAAGGCCCTGATTGTACAGTATTACTTTGGCTATTATTACTCCGTACTCGTACATCCATTTACATCCACCCTTAGTCTAGCACTTCTATAACCTCAATCTGGCTCTGGTCAGATTTATGCCTGGCCTTTACGTTGGCCCCACGTTCTTATGCCCGTGCTTGAAAAGATTGAGAGAAGTCTATCAGGGGTCTAGGGTCCGTCCGTTTGACTTTCGAACCAATAACACGAGGATCTAAGACATCCATCCTTCCAGAATCATGCAAGACAGCCATGAGGCGGAAACCTTCGCCATCTAAGCGAAGCATTCGACGAGATCCCCCTGTTTATCGTCCCTTGGCAAGTATGACGACGAAAGAGAAGACACCCTAGGGACGGGGTATAGTGCCTTCTATTGGACTAGAGCTTGTCACTTACGCCCTGTTCACCCCCAGATGGACCTCTAAAGTGGAGGGTTATGCGGGGCGATGCGCGATTTTCTGGTTGATGAGTCTGACTATCACAGTAGCGTCCACCACTAAGCCACGACAAGCCAGCGTCTCTGCAAGTCTTCAACGAAGACGGCCTTTAATATCTGTGGAAATTTCTAGACTCCTAGGGACGGCCCAGCCGATCCAATCAGATGCCTCATCCTGCCGCTTCAGGCTTCAGCGGAATGAACAATGTGATATTTGGGAGGGGTTGCCATGCCGAGAGACTGCTTGCTTCCTCGGGAAGCCGAAATTGTGACGAGAAAGTTGAATGCTAGTCCAGCCCAGCTCATCAATCTTCTTGCCCCAACAATCATGTCACCGCTCGAACTCTAGCACGGTGGATCTTCGGAGAGTGCCGCCATTTAAGTACTCAGCTTGAAAACCCGACACTCAAAAGGTCCCGAGATTCCGGCGAGAAGATTCCCAGATGCTTGCCACGAGCAATGTCATATTTCTCAAGAAACAAGAGTATCCCGTCACCGGGGGGTCCTTCATTTCGATCGTGCCGCTAGCGTGAAAAGGCTCACCGGTTGAATCCAACTAGGCCCGAACCGCAAACTCTGGCGAAGCATAAGCTATCAAGGTTCTCCGCTTTCCGGGGTTGTTCACCTCAACAGGAGGGTTGGTTTGTGCATCGGGGAATAATTAGACTCCGCACTTCAGGGCTTTTAGAGATCTTGCTACTAGTATCCGTCTTCAGTGACGGACATTACAATATCCATGGTTTGCTTGCCTATTTTGAGCTGCCCGATTTCGGCTTATTTCGGCTTCTTTCAGCTTCTTTCAGGCCTATAGCACCACCTCTAGGACACCGACACCCACATGGGCACACTCTACTTGTAGTAACTAAACAGCTAGAGAGAGAAGCTCGGGCAATTATCGGACGACCAACCAATCACCGGCCTTGATCCACGGAGCGGCCTTGAGCATACGCTAGTGTATGACAACCTTCGGCTCTTGAAGGATCTCTGCCGACTTTACCATATTGGGTATGGATTGAATGGCGCCCATGGTAGGAGACTTCCCTAGGGAGGTGCTTAGAGGATGTTTACCTCAGAGTGGAATGCAAGTGGGATGATCTGCCCCGCATACCACCAAGCCCTCCTGGCCCCTTCTCCTCCCAACCCCGCAAAAACATTCAGCCACTGGCACTGGCACTCGCGCGCAGGGGCATTGCGCTTGAGCTCAAGTGTGTCCCCAACGTATTCACGGAGATTCGACGGAAATTTTATGTTGTCGCTCTGAGCTCACTTCCGTTTGATTCGGGATGCCCTCGGTGTATCCCCTGTCGGCGAAATTGCATCCGAGACTGTAGTGCTACGAGAGCTGCAGATTGACCAGCCCCGCAATCAACTATAAGAGAGGCTGGTGACAGGATCTAAAGACGCGTTCTTTTTCTCAGAACTCGACAGAAGAGAGACGAGAGACTGTTTTTTTCGAAGGGAGAACACCTCGGTCGCTATGGTTGGATTCGCAGACATACTACTTGGTGCTTGGCTGTTGCCGGGGGTCTATAGCGCTAGTTCCAGCGCGACCCTAACGCCAAGCAGCTCCATTTCCTCGGCATACCATCAGTTTACTATCCCCGCCGATGCAGACGAAGGGGCTAATCTGATCGCAAACATCGACGACCCCGAGGCGATTGATGCACAGACCGCCTGTCCTGGGTACAAAGCTTCAAATGTGAAGCAGACTACCACTGGAGTGTCAGCCAGCTTGGCATTGGCTGGAAAAGCATGCAATGCATACGGAACCGACGTGGAATCTTTGGATTTCTCAGTCGAGTACATGGCGAACGATCGTTTGAACATCCAGATCGTACCGAGCCATGTGGACTCTTCGAATGCGTCGTGGTACCATCTTTCCGAAGATACTGTGCCTCGCCCCAAGAGTGGAAAGCATGCGTCCCGCGAAAACAGTGATTTGGAGTTCAAATGGTCAAATTCTCCTTCTTTCAGCTTCAAGATCATTCGGAAATCCACTGGAGATGCAATCTTTGACACAACCGGCTCGGTTTTGGTATTCGAAAACCAATTTACTGAGTTTGTTACTTCTCTTCCAGAAGACTATAACCTTTATGGATTGGGCGAGCATATTCAGCAGTTTCATCTGCTAGAAAACTTGACCCTGACCATGTATGCCTCGGATATTGGAGATCCCATCGATACGTGAGTTGACAAGTTGACCTCATGGAGAAGAACAGTTGAACTGACCCTCTACAAAGAAATGTATACGGAAGTCATCCTTTCTATCTAGATACCCGGTACTATGAGGCCTCCCAGAAACGCGGTTCGATGTCTCCTGTTTCGAGCGACAAGATCGACAGTGCTAAGGACTATGTTTCCTATTCCCATGGTGTCTTCCTGCGAAACGCCCACGGCCAGGAAATTCTGACCGGACCTAAAAAGCTCACTTGGCGCACTCTTGGTGGTGGCATTGACTTGACTTTCTATTCTGGCCCTTCACAGGCCGAGGTCACTAAGAACTATCAAATTAGCACGATTGGACTGCCCGCAATGCAGCAGTACTTTACCTTTGGCTATCACCAGTGTCGATGGGGCTATCGTAACTGGACTGAGATGCAAGAGATTGTTGACACGTTTGAGAAGTTTGAGATTCCTCTAGAGAACATCTGGTGAGTTAAACACAGACGCTATGGGCTTTTGCATCGAATACATTTTGACGGCTTCATAGGAATGATATCGACTACATGCACGGCTACCGCGACTTTGAGAATGATAACAGCCGATTTCCCTACGAGGAAGCAGAAGTGTTTCTAGGAAAATTGCACGAGAGTGGCCGTCACTACATTCCGATCGTTGACTCAGCACTCTACATTCCAAACCCTCATAATGAGTCTGACGCGTAAGTAACCGGTGGAACATCCTACACTCTCAATGCATGAGCTCATATGTATCTAGATACGATACTTATACCCGCGGTGCCAAGGATGATGTCTTCCTCAAAAATCCAGATGGAAGCACCTACATCGGTGCCGTTTGGCCCGGATACACTGTCTATCCTGACTGGCACCATCCGAAAGCCGGTAGCTTTTGGTCCAACGAGCTCGTGACCTGGCACAAGAAGGTTGCCTTCGATGGTATCTGGATTGACATGAGCGAAGTATCATCTTTCTGTGTCGGCAGCTGTGGATCCAAGAACCTGAGCATAAACCCTGTCCACCCCGGATTTTCGCTACCTGGCGAACCCGGCAATATCATCTACGATTACCCGGAAGGATTCAACATCTCAAATGCAACAGAGGCTGCGTCTGCCTCCGCGGCTTCGTCCAGTCAAGCCGCTGCTGCTGCAACTGGTGATTCGTCCCCTACGTCCACTACGTCGTACCTTCGAACTACTCCTACAGCCGGAGTACGCGATATCAACTACCCTCCCTACGTGATTAATCACGACCAGTCTGGTCACGATTTGGCTGTGCATGCGGTGTCTCCAAATGCAACCCATTCCGATGGTGTTCAGGAATACGATGTGCACAACCTCTTTGGTCATCAAATTCTTAATGCCACTTACCATGGTCTCCTTGCTGTGGCCCCCGAGAAGCGACCATTCATTATCGGTCGCTCCACCTTCGCTGGATCTGGTAAATGGGCAGGTCACTGGGGTGGCGACAATGCCTCCAAGTGGGCATACATGTTTTTCTCAATCCCCCAGGCGCTATCTTTCTCGCTGTTCGGTGTTCCGATGTTTGGAGTTGACACGTGTGGTTTCAATGGCAACACAGATGAAGAGCTCTGTAACCGCTGGATGCAGCTCTCGGCCTTCTTCCCTTTCTACCGCAACCACAACACTCTTTCCGCAGTCAGCCAAGAGCCGTACCAATGGGAATCGGTCATGCAGGCGTCTAAAGATGCTATGAAGATCCGTTACTCCATTCTGCCGTACTTCTACACATTGTTTCACTTGGCTCATACCACTGGATCGACTGTCATGCGAGCTCTGGCCTGGGAGTTCCCCAACGAGCCCCAACTGGCTCGTATCGATACCCAGTTCCTTCTGGGACCATCTATCATGGTTGTTCCTGCACTTGCACCTCAGGTCGATACTGTGCACGGTGTATTCCCCGGTGTGAAGAACGGCGAGATCTGGTATGACTGGTACAACGGCTCTGCTGTCCAGGCTGAGCCTGGTGTCAACACTAGTATCCCTGCTCCCCTGGGTCACATCCCGGTTTTCGTGCGTGGCGGAAGTGTCATTCCCATGCAAAACCCTGCCTTGACAACCCGCGAGTCTCGTAACTCGCCGTGGTCTCTTCTCACGGCCCTTGACGCCAATGGAGCTGCCCAGGGAGATCTCTACATCGATGATGGCGTAAGCCTCGTTCAAAACGCCACTCTCAATGTCAAGTTCAAGGCAGCCTCATCTAGTCTCAGTGCCATCCCTCAAGGCGACTGGAAGGAAGAAAATGCGCTCGACAAGGTTACTGTTTTCGGTGTCAAGAAGAGCCCCCACTCAGTGACTCTCAACGGCAAGACCGTTCCATCTTCATCTGTGCACTATAATTTGACATCGCACTCTCTGTCAGTAGGTGATTTGCAGAAAATTACTTCAGAAGGGGCTTGGAGTAAGAAATGGATTCTGAAATGGTGAGCTTCTAAGGAGTCAGTAGCAGTCTAAGTACTAGACCGGGGTCGAAATTTCAATAGTTTGCCTGTTATACTCAAACAACCTGGTTTGGATCGCTTATCCTAATACGAATGAAGTACTCATGACCAAGCTCAGCACAGGACCAATAGTCCAAGCTATATCCATGAATTGAAGTAACAACAATCGTTTCGTTGAACCAATGGCCCTATTTTAACCCCGACTGTCAAATGTCCATGCATTCCGCTCCACGGAAATTAGTAGAAGTCGGCCTCGAACCAAATCAGAGAGTTTGATACGAGTATGTTAAGGCCGAAATCCGAATTTCGAAACACTGCTAGTGCATGCACCTCATGACCACTCCTTCTTTGCAATGTGGGACAACCTGAAGTGTAAACCGGTTCCTCCAAGCCGAATCCACCGTGACGCGGGTCCGTCTAGTGCTTATGCGTGAAACATGCGAACATCTACCCTCTCCACTTCCAAACAGACGCAGAACAGATTGCAGAGAGGCAGCCAGGTATCATGCAGGCATCGGGGACTTTGAGAAAAAAAACTATGGATTGCACTTGCTATAATATTGGCAGACCAATTTAATATCTACAAAGTTCAACGCTCGTCGGGGGAATATCAACAACAGGAATGCGATCGGCAGCAGCCCCCAAGCATTTCCAGCCCCCGTTGTAACCCCATCTGCGACCCTGGAAATTTAAGGTCCGCGATCGGGCAACCTGATTGATCGACGGCATGTCCGAGCAATGATTCTTTCAGACTAGGACTGTGATTTCGGACCCCCAAGGGCCTGGCGTTTGCAATCCTGCGTTAGCGTCCTGACATGTGGACTTGCTTGGCTAAATCTGTCATGGGTCAACACAATTGAAGTGGTGAACCAAGCCACCTAAATCGCGATCTGGGCAAATCACAGTGTGTATCATGTCTTTCGGGGTTTTCAGCGTGAAAGCCGATGATCTACCACCTTTAATATCTGGTTGTTTTGGATTTAGTCGCTTCGCCTCTGAGCTGCTGCACTTCGATGAACCTTGGATAGGGGGTTCTAGTACCCCATAAATTTTGCCCCTCTCTCGACCGTATATCCTACTGCGTGTTTTCCTAATTCAGATCTTTGCGACTGGGATCAGTCAACTGAAGAAAATTTACGACGATGTCCTGGTCGCTCTTTCGTTTTCTTAGAATACTTTGGTGAACATCAATTGTGTGTCTGGTATCAACCAAGAAGTACTCATTACTGACGCATTTGGAATCATAGTGAATCAAAAAAAGAGCTCACTATCCGACCTTATACATCCTTGATTTGAAGATCAAGTTTTGCAAGGACATTATGCTTCTGCGTTTCCCCCTCTTTGCAAGCCTGGTCGGTTCAGCAATTGCTGCAACTCCAGCTCAATGGCGGTCCCAATCTATCTATTTCATGCTCACTGATCGGTTCGCTCGAACTGATGAATCGACCACTGCCAGTTGCGACACCAAATACGGAGTGAGTCTTGATTGGAAAATCCTTTCGATCTCACTCTGGGACTAATGGATTGTCAGAGATATTGCGGCGGTACCTGGAAAGGCATTGAGAAAAAGGTATGACCTTGCTTCCAGGATATTCGGGGTAATACTGATGATATTTTAGTTGGACTATATTCAAGGAATGGGATTCACGGCCATCTGGATTACTCCCATTACTACTCAAATGGAGGGAACCACTGCCGATGGATCTGCCTACCATGGATATTGGCAGCAGGACATGTGCGTAAAATACGGAACTGAAACTTACCCTAAAGACAAACTGACTTCTTATCTGCAGCTATGGTCTCAATTCCGAATATGGCACGGCTGATGATCTGCACTCCCTCATTTCGGCTCTTCACGACCGGGACATGTACATGATGGTCGATGTTGTTGCCAATCACATGGTTTATCTCTCCGTATCAAATTCTTGCCTTCGAATGATAATCTGATTTATATGGTTTCTAGGGATATGACGGCTCCGGAGACTCAGTTGACTACAGTGTTTTCGACCCATTTGACTCTCAGAAGTACTTCCATTCTTATTGCAAAGTCTCCGACTACAGCGATCAAACAAATGTCGAGGATTGTTGGCTCGGTGACTCGACTGTTTCTCTACCAGATCTAAACACAGAAAGGAACGATGTTCAGAGCCTGTGGTATGATTGGGTTGGATCACTGGTGTCCAACTATTCAAGTGAGGCACTCTTCTCTTAACACGAATGTTGCCCAGCTGACAGAGTAACATAGTTGACGGTATACGCGTTGACACTGTCAGACATGTCCAGAAGGATTTCTGGCCGGGTTTTAACAAAGCTGCCGGTGTGTACTGTGTAGGTGAAGTATTTGACGGTGATGCGGGATTTACCTGTCCCTATCAAGAAGTCATGGATGGTGTCCTCAATTATCCGGTGTAAGTACAAATTGAGCCTCCTATGAAGGTTCCAATCGGCTAATTTTGCAACAAATCTAGCTATTTCCCGCTACTAAGAGCCTTCCAGTCTACTAGTGGGAGTATGAGCGATCTTTACAACATGATAAATACCGTGAAATCCACATGTTCCGACTCAACGTTGCTTGGAAACTTTATTGAAAACCATGACAACCCTCGTTTTGCTTCGTATGCTCACAAAGTCTCACCAGTCAGGGAGAATTTAACTTTTACTAACAAGTCTCAGGTATACGGATGACATTTCTCTTGCAAAGAATGTGGCAGCGTTCACCATTATGGCTGACGGGATCCCAATAATATACGCGGGTCAGGAACAGCACTACAACGGGGGTAGTGACCCATACAATCGCGAGGCTGTCTGGCTTTCCAAATATGACACAGACAGCCCATTGTATAAGCTGATTGCGAAGGGGAATGCTATCCGCTCGCGTGCAATTTACCAGGATGATGGTTATCTCTCTTACAAGGTATCTTGAACATGTTCTATCTCTTCAGAAAGTCTCAATATTCTCACACGAAGCTACTAGAATTATCCGATATATCAAGATCAAACAACCCTCGCAATGCGGAAGGGCTACAAGGGCACTCAGACCATCACAATTCTCTCCAACAAGGGTACTGATGGAGACGGATATACCCTTAATCTGTCCAACACTGGATATGAAGCTGGTATGAAGCTGACTGAGATCATCAGCTGCTCGACTATTACAGTCGGCGATGATGGGAAGGTGCCTGTTCCGATGAAGGAGGGCCTGCCGCGGATCTTGTATCCAAGTTCTGAGCTGAAGGGATCTACTCTGTGCTCGTAAACCTTCTTGGGACTGGAGATCATTTATCCTGTACGAAACGGGTTCTTATATTTAGTAACTCTTAAATAGATTGCGCCTTTCGTGTTCTTTGATCAAGTTGCAATATTTTGTATTCAGTATCTTTCCATGTTTCTCTGGGTGTAGAAAGCCAGGTTGGAATAAATTCAACTTTTGTACTCGTACACAACAGAACCTCCAAGGTTGAAATGGTTTTTTATTTTTCAATTCTCAGACGATTGTTTCATTTTTCTTTCATGGCTGCTCAACAGCGCAACAAGAAATTATGTCCGACATTAAAGAATTTACAAACCCGATTCCCCTTCAAGCCCCTGCCATAACAGTCCGTATCCTATTTGCCAAACCCGTTGTGCCAAAAATCATCAACATTAACTATGTACTCGCAGAAAGGAAACACTTGCAAACTCTTATTTTATTCACTCAATAATCGTGGAGTGCTCGAGGAACCAAACTGATGGGCATAGCACCACCAGTCACAGGTGCTGGGTGCTGGAATACGGCTGGCGCCGAAAATGCCTGCTGGGGTGGAACATATCCACTGGCAATGAGTTGATCATAACATCCGTATCCATCAACGATGCCGTCCATAGAGCCACCGGTAGGGATCAGCTGACCGATATCTATGTTCTCTGTGCGAGGTGCTTGAGATGCCACAAAAAGCGCATTGCTGGCACTGGGTGAGGTTTGATCAGCTGTTGCTGCTTCAGAGTAGCGGCGTTGAACTTCGCCGATGATGCAAGCGATACGGTAAGCGAGGTGATCGCTGCTCGGAGAAAGATGTAGCAAAAACGCCCGAACTTGATCAATGAGAGGATCAGATGGACTATAGTCGCACAATGTCAGAGCAGCATATCCAAGGATATAATAGACATTGTCTATCAGGCCTGGCGCAGCAGAAAAGCGCGTTTGAAGAGACCGGGATATGATCAAGCGCGCGTTGTTGCATGTTTCGGATATTAGTTGGTCGGACTCAGAATGCAGTCTTATAGCAGTTCGATGAAGAATCAGCTGGCAGAACCAAACACTGAGCTCTAAAGCGGATTTGCCTTCATTTGCTTGGAAACCGGTTAGCCGAGGGAACGCGAGTATCCGAAGAGAGAAAAGTACTCACAGAAGAGGTGTGTCCATTCCATTTTCCAGCGCTCGATCTCCTCATATTCAGTCTCGGCGAAGCGAAGACGATGAGGGGAGCTCTGAAGCTTGAGAGCAATGCGATATAATTGAATCTCTGCCACGATTCTGCCATCTTCAGGGGTAGCCCGATGGTGATCAAGAATACGAATACAGTGATCCAAATAATGCAGTTGCACGTTGAGAGTGCGACCGTATCCAAAAGCATAACTAAGAGCTGGATATTAGCGAAATTCGATTACAAGGAGAGGTGGACGCACTGTAAATGAGTTAAGCAGAACATATTCCAAAGACGCATCTGGGAGAGCATCTCATCGGTTAAAGCACTTTTTGAATGAGAAACGTTGAGAAAGCCGAAAGAAATCAAAGCGTGGTTCATCGAGGTCCCGCTCAACAACCAGCCATCGACAAATCCTTCCTTATGACCTGAAGTCAGGATAGAGACATAGTAATGCCAGGGCCTGGAGTACATCATTCGACAAGGAAGATTTCCCCCACATTGCCTGCGTGATAGCGTTCTGAACTTGAAGCGAAATGTTATGAATGGTAGCTTCGGGCATGCCAGGCAAATACCGAGAAGCTAATAGACATGCCGTATTAAAAAGAAGAGTATCAGATCGCTGAATACTGGATGCTGGATCTGTTGCCATCCATGAACTATAATATTCGACAAATCTAGAAGGTGTCAGTCAAACTTGAAACTAGACTGCAGGCCGATAACTCACAGTTCCATTAATTTGTAAGAGAGCTTTATGTCAATAATTCCCAAGGAAACCACATCTCCGATAATGTCGGCATCACCGGTGAGGCCATCTCGTCCACTGAAGCATTCAAGCTGTAGATCTCGAATAAACTGGACGGGTTTGATAGTGAAAGGTGGTAATGCTCCAATTTCTCCACTGGTAGATTCATCTAGACTTCTTGTTGCCTGGGGGCGTGGGCTGCCCGCCAAATTGGATGTGTTGTTTACCATCTGTCTCATCAGGTGGATCATTTCACCCATCCCGTGTTCCAGGTGGAGCAACCGTTCCTCGATTGAGGGGATGGCTCCATTGCTGTCCGGCCATGCCGAGGCCTGGTCCTGAAAGCGATCTGGGGTTTCTGGTAGCTCGCATTCGAGCCTTTTGAAGACAGTTAGCTTTTTGTTTGAATCACAGTTTGTCACGGCCCGGATTTGAAAGCAGGGATTTGGGGGCAGAGGAAGAAGAAGAAGACGAAGAAGAAGAAAAAGAAAACACTTACCTCAGTGATAAGCAGCGGCGACAAGCATGGCCACGAGGATCTAAATCACATCGAGTTTTCAGCTTGCGGCATGTGTTGCACGCAGTCATTGATCGGCGAATCCGCCCTCTGGGCCGTGAATCCTGGCCGACCGAGTCCATTCTATTGCCATCATCTGTAGTGGCAATACTTTTCGTCTCCCATGAGGCAGCACTGCATGTGGGTTCAGTTCGCGTCATAGCGATGGATTTTTACACTGTCAGGGAATCATTTAATCGGACGGGACAAAGAGTAAATAGTTGCGACAACAAGATCGGTTGGAGGGTAGCAGAATGATCAACCACTAGGTCATTAAGCCAAGTTTCAAATCCACGGAGATCATTCACCAGGTGGAGAGATCGAGGCTTATAAAAGATAGGAGCCCGTGTCGTGTTGGCCAATTGCGACAAGGCGCCGAGGACTGACGATATCGTCTCCGTCGGCGTGCGCAGGTACGTGATCCACTTGCAGTAGACCTGGGGTAATCGCAAGGCATCAACCAATCTCGACAGTCGCGACGGGCTTCTAGAAAGGTAGCGATGACCGTGTCAACTGCATATTTCCTGGAGCGAAGAGGGGTTATCGCGCATTGGCTCTTTTAACCCCCCTGTTCGCCGATGTGAGCCGTCTAGAAACGTTCCGGGCGGGAGGGGGTGATTGCCACCATGCCCAGTATGGTTTGGGTGGTCTGGGGTCTCTCGCTAGGTTTGCAGACAAGTTGTCGTTATCGTCAGGTCCTGCGTGCCGGGCGTTGGGCTTATCTTTTTGTTTTTTTCTTTCTAGATTATTCCTTCGCGAGAGCGGGTTTTATCCTGACGCCCACCCGCACATCTTACAAGGATACCTCCAAGGGTTGGCTACGACAACTCTTAGCTCTGCAAATATTGCCAGGATTTTTAACGGCCAGTGATCATGCGAAGTGGGGTTGATATCATATCATGCATCTAAGGTATATGTGACGAGTGGGTCGAGAGAGGCAGGAGGATAGGGTCAGGAGTGGAAACAGAACAGAACGGTGATTGCAAAGGCGAGAGGCAAAAGGGGAATCGGGATATCTGGGTCTAGCATGTGCAAGTGTCTCGCAGGAAAATAGACAGTCCAATGGGCTTGGCCAGGCAATTCGGGGATTGAGCCAGGGGGGTCTCAGAAGCAATGCGACATTGTAACTTTTCACTACCCGGCTAACGCCGGATCTTTAGCCGGTTTATGCATGGACCCCTGCTAGCCTTATCCTTAGCGACTAACATTCATATCGAGCGAATTTCACCCCCTCATTGTATCTACTATCGAAGGGTCAATTGAGATCGCGTTGGACCTTGGCTCACAGAGATAGTGGACAGCTGTCGATACAATCGGCGGCCATCTTTTGGTTGTTCCAAATACAATACGAGCTACCAGGATAGTTAGACTTCAAAGAGACTAAAAACGCTTCAGATAAAAACGTACTAGACCTAAAAACCGTAGAAGTGGGTCAGAATGGGGTTCTCTAGACCTGAACCGAACGTAAATCAACGGTCTTCGAAAATCTCTTTTCCTTCTCTTAAATCGCGCTTTAGCCAGCACTGCCATGAGCCAAAATAAAATATTCACCCGAGGCACATCTAGTAGTCTTTCCCCACTACTGGATCCACTTCTCTCAAAAGCCAATATAGTACACTTCCTGCAGTCGCTTTTGTGCCTGCCTGATTTGGATATAGTGTGATCCTAGACTTTATATATGAGGTTGGATAAAGGAGCGGTCAGAGCCGAATTGATTGGGCTGGTGGCTTGCCCAGGTCTCTTGGCTGTTTGCTGGACTCTGGGGTAAACATCCCGCCCAACGAAGGGCCGAAGGACTGGTCCACGATCCATCCATAATGGGAATGAAGGATCTAGCGTGCGTCCTGCTTCCAAGGCCAAGTGTGTCTGTTAGATATTACACTCGGAGTACTCCGCTTCAGTCTATATCACAAGCTCTGCATCTGTGACACAATTAATTGCGATCGTCCGTCGATTTGCGTGCCAAGCCCAAACGCTGCGGCTTGACTTGTGTCAAGCAATGCCCTAGTGGTCTGATATTGCGCCCCTCTCTGGTACATACTCGTATTCTTGCGCAAGCTCCGCACTGTATGTTAGACCCTTGACCCACTTGGGGTTGATACGAGGCGGATTTATTAGCCTTTAACTTAGTACGTGTTCTCCCCCGTCAGCTCATTCAAGATTGTTGCTAGGATACTTGACATAAGAGGACTCTTACAGGACGCCGAGCGCGCTTATGCAGGCCATCACTTTAGAGCCCCCGTCGATGTAACAGCCAAACTTTACTAGACAAAGATCGGGCCAATCGATGAACCTGGACTGGGTTCCACCTAAATCATGATTCCCATGAACTGAGGCCCGTCGTCGCAATTGGATGGAATTGCATGCAAGACCACTTGTTGATTGGCGGAGAAGAAATTTCCATTTCCCTTGTCTTCTAGAAGTTCCTGCGAGGCACGCCGAATATCTCCTCATAATCTCGAGCACTTCGCTTCATGCCTGATGACGACACGATTACCCCCGATTATATGCCATACCAGTCAGTGAAGTTCAAGGATGATAAGAGCTTACGAAAATAAACGGGCAAAGCCGATTTCATGTGTCTCAAAGATAAGAGCCCAGCATTAAATCATTTCAACACTAGAGGCATCGAGAAATTTGGACTTGCACCTCTGCTGCATCTACCTCTCAAAGTTATACTCGCAGCTTCGAAGTCCCTGGTCCATCGGAGATTTTTCCCAATGCAGACTCCACTAGTGCAAGAAATATGATCATTTGGCTTAAATTCTAAAGCAATCAAATTCCCCCCAGACGCGCACTTCACCGCACAAATTACATTCCTTATGAACACTCAGGGTTGAAGACCGCCCTGCGTCTGTATTCCAGCATACCTGGGACCCTTAAAGTAGGATCAAATTGGATATCCATGCTGACTCCATATGAACCTGTCAGTCCCGACTGCTCTGTGTTGTCCGAGTATCACGCTCTAGTGCAACCTAGGCCAACCAGACCAGGTCTCATCCAAGGAGAAAGAAAAACAGAAAACATACTTAGATGTATGAGTCCCAAACCCAAACCCACCCAGCGCCTACTTTTCCTCGTCCGCTTTCCTGCGCTCTCGATTTAGGTACAATGAGGGCATAATGGACCATGGTGAAATATGCAAAAGGGTACTTTTATGGTGGGTATGCTTACCTTAGGTCAGATATACCTTACTAGTAGTGAGGGTGCTCAGATACTCGCGGACCAAGATATGACGAATATGAATCAAGCAAAGTGTAGTAGTGGTTCGACGAAAGTAGCTGAGGGGATGGGGAAGCAGGAACTGGTAGGTACAAGGTGTCAGGTGTCAGGTGTCAGAGTGGATGCCATCCGATCTAGGCAACCAAGGCAACAAGGCTGCAAAGGTAATAGTTGATCATATGGGTTCATAACGATGACCAGTTGAGTGGTCACGTGGCACTCCCATTGCTCCATTTCCAGTCTCGAAAGTCTACGGATCACCAAACACTAGCAACATGGCGCAGAATCATGCCACTAGCCCACATAAAAACACGCTTCCTGATATGCTCGGACACCCATGGAATGGACAGTTTACCCGGCTTCATTCCGTATGCAGACGTCGCTATTCACTGCGGAGATCTCACTACCCAATCTCAACTCCATGAATACAAAGCATCAATCCGGTTGCTCCAGGCTATCGACGCACCTTTGAAGCTTGTCATCGCCGGAAATCATGATTTCACAATGGACATTCCCATGTTTCACAAAAAGATCGCAGAGGCCCAGTCATTAGAGCGTGAGCTCGTTGAGCAAGCGTATGGAAATGACGGGGAGGCTAGAAGATTGTTTGAAGGCACAGGAATTACTTTTCTCGATGAAGGCGTACACTCTTTTCATTTGCGGAACGGTGCTTTGCTGACTGTTTATGCCAGCCCGTACACGCCTTCACTTGGAGATTGGGGTTTTCAGTACCACCCCGATAAAGGCCATAACTTTATGATAGACGGTGACAGTGGTAATAACGCCGTGGATGTTGTGATGACACACGGCCCACCGAAGGGAATCATGGACTACACTCAGTCCGGTGAACGGGCAGGCTCCGCTGAGCTCTTTCGCGCCCTCGCTCACGCTCAACCACGACCGCGGATGCATTGCTTCGGTCACATTCACGAAGGCTGGGGCGCGAAACTTATTACGTGGCGTGACAGAGTTACCCCTGTGCCCTCTCACCTAACGGATATCGACAATGGACAGTCTTTTCCTATAGCGAAGCTCTCCGACATGAAAGATAGAGCTGGGCAAGGCTTAGATGGGAATGGCGTACCAATGAAGTACTTTGCTACTAGTCACTGTTCGGGCGATTCCCATCCACTGCGTTGGGGCTCTCAAACGTTGTTTGTAAATGCTGCCATTGAGAGGCTTCCCCAAGACATGAATGACCAGGAAGGAAATCCATCAATGCAGCTACCATGGGTTGTTGACCTTGAACTCCGAGCTTCTCCCTGAGGATCAAAGAAAGCACCCGGGCGAGAAAAGTGAACCTAATATGCAGCCTTCTATGGAAAATGTCACAAGATCAACTTTATGTTGTTTGGTATCACCTCTCGTAGGATCCAACCATAATTGGGACTTACCACTCATCGTGCGAGGAAATACGGTCAAATTTTAATCAACAGGCCTGCCATGCCGCCGAGACCTAAGACCTGAATATTTGAATACCGCCACTGCAACCGTATTATTCAAGCAATATAGAAGTTATCTGGCCATATGTGAGTCAACATACAGTGTTCCAACGGTATTTTAATAGAGACGTATTGTTTTTATAGTACTAGTACTACTTGTAGTATCTAATAGCATTTACTAGTATATCCGCTGTGAACGCTTCTACCCTAGTAGATACCTAGGTATATAGTATATCTTGATCCTTTTTTTTCTTTTATAGCATGCATAAATAGTGGCTGTTCGGGCATGCGATATGACAAAAGCTTCCTACTTAATAATTCTATTTTAATAATGGAAAGTAGGCACTTTTTTATTGGTAAAACAGTTCACCACGAGTGTTTCGTATCTGTTCAAGTAACTAGACCTCATTTTCAAGCCCGTTCCGAGCTGCTGCGTCAGTCTTCAAATTCTCTTTATCTTTACGCCAAACGAGCCACCATGAGCTCAATATACCCGAGATTGCCAAGCAAAGAAAGGAGAGGCAGATTATATATGACACATGGTATGTCGGACCAAAGACCGAGCTGTAAATATGAGGGCCTGCAATTCCACTGAACTGGGCCATGGCATTTGTCAGTCCAATTCCGATACCTGCAGCCACAGTTCCGTCGAGAGCGCGAATACGCTCTGGCCAAATCACGGGGTACGCAGACCCGGCACAGGCGGTGGCGACAATGAGAGCAATGTATTTGACGATCGAATTTGAGACCGTGATAAGTATGATGTAGCAGATAATAATGGTGCTTTCGACTGCTTGCTGTTAGAAATGCCCAAGTATAGATTTGAAAATACAAGAGCAAGAATACTGACTCGCTACTGCACTAGTCCAAGGTCTAATCCATCCTTTGTGGAGTAGGTATCCAAGAGTGTTTAGAAAGAAAAAACATGCGACGTATGGAGGCTATGAACCCCGACTTGAGTTAGAATATCTGGGATATCTGATCACGAGATACTGTGAACCAACTCACTATATTCATTAATTGAGATAATGCCGTGGAGGTGAAACCGAGCTCGTAGATTACCGTAGGTAGTGCATAGTTTACACCAAATCCGCCGATACCGTGTCCTATCCAATATACAGAAAATGTATAGAGGGTAGGGCTAGAGAATAGCGCCTTGATACCAGCCCAGTCCCAGCTTTTGTCTTTTCCTGAAGGAGCAGAAGAGGATAGACGGCCGTTGAGGAAAATCCGCTCCTCCTCGGTTAACATGCGAGCATTCTCGGGGTAGTCAGGAAGACCGAACAATGCCACAACAGATAAGACAATGGCAGGAAGACCTTCAAGAATGAACAGCCACCTCCAGCCTGAAATTCCGCCTGCCCCATCCATGTAACTGATGGCGTATGCCAGTAGCCCACTCAACGCGCCAGACACCTGACCGAGGGAATAGAAGAGAGCAATTCTCCAGCGCAGCTCGGATGGCTTATACCAGAATGCCATATGGTAGAGCACCGCTGGATAAAACCCGGCCTCTGCTAATCCGATCGCAAACCGCACGCACATCATCCCTGGAAAGTCCTGTGCAGCCCCTGCAGCACAAGCACAAACGCCCCAGGAGAGGATCAGAACAAACATGCATCTCGACGGTTTGATCCATTTGAGAAGAACCGTGTTAGATGGCTCGAAAATGAGATAGCTGTAAGAAAATATGGACTGTGTCCATGCCCACTGTGACGCGTTGAAATTAAGCTCCTTCTTGATTCCAGTGCCAGCTTCCAAGTTGATAATTGCGGCGTTGGCATAATTTTGGGAGTCGATGACACGGAAGATATAAACAAGTGAATAAAATCCAACAAGCCAATAGTCGATTTTTCGCATGACTCTTCTCTTCAGCTCAGCATCGTTCTTGATACTCATATCGTCACGATGTACCCCATTTGGCGGTGACGAAGTCACACTGGTGGTGGTCACCGTGTCTTCGCCCTTACTGAACGCCATAGCTCTTGTTCCGCTTCCACGAGGAGTCGATAATTGACTTCACCTGCTAGAGCAAGCTGAACAAAGAGGGAATCGGATGAGTTGTTTAGTTTTAAGTGTTTCTATCCCTCCTTTTTCATTGACAGCTTTCCTGGAGTAAGGTATTGATTTTGAGCACGACATATTATTATCCGGCTGCATTTATTCCAAGGAAGTTATGTCTATTCCAGCCCGGCCAATGTCTGGTGCTAATTGTGCCGCCAGATTGCGGAATACCCAGAAACCATAATTCTTATCAAGCAACCAATTTGCGAAAGTCATAGAAGTGTATATGTATTTACACCACGTGGTAGTGGATTCCAGCTTCATTCTCGCCTTTTGAGCATGATGTCGCAATCGTTTCGATGAAATCGGGGTTTTTCAAGGCTACAAGCTACTCACCAATTACTGACTGGTTATTCTAATTGGACGTTTATCAATAATAGTCAGCTTTCGGCATTAGAGGGCCGCGATAAATAACGCAATGCGGAGCAAAGATGATAACATCCGAGACCCCGCAATCTCCAAACTCAACGACAGTCGGATAAAATATAACAAGCTCGGATGGTTTTCGATTTATGAAATTCTAGACTTATATAGATATAAGTTGTGTTCAATCGCATCTGAAATTACCATCTTGGTACCCCATTGACGCTCTGTAAGTCAAGAAAAAGAAATGGCGCCGTCCGCAATTGAAGAGCAAACAGCAACAGAGCCGGTACTTGTCAAGCAATGGAGCCGCCCTGAGCCAACAAAAGAGAATTTGGACTGGGCACCACTAGTTGAGATTGATCTATCTCTTTTTGACCAGCCGGGTGGAAAGGAAGAGCTTGCAAAACAATTACACGACGCCGTTACGCGAGTAGGATTTTGGGTCGTGGTCGGGCATGGACTTGGTGATGATCAAGTTCTACGCCAATTCAGCATCGGAAATGCATTTTTCAAAGAGTCTCTGGACGAAAAGCGAAGCTTTCCATGCAATTTTGCCGAGGGCGAGTATTTTGGATACCGCGAGAACGAAAGATGGATTGGGGACACAGGAGTCAAAGACAATGTAGAAATGGTATGAACATCTCTTCTCCAACTCTAATTAGTGCTCGTGTATCTGATCAATCTGCATAGCTCAATATTCCAAAAGCCATTCCCGAATGGGACAGTGTTCCTAAGCATAGGATTACTCGTCAGAATTATCCTGAAATTGCAAAATTCCACCGTGACCTCTATCAGAAAGTTGTTGAAAAGCTGTTCGTGCTGATGGCTATCATTCTTGAGCTACCCGAGGACTATTTGGTCAAAGCCCATGCCTACAATCAGCTTTCAGATGATCACCTGCGTTACATGATCTATAATACCCGCACCCAAGAGGAATGGGACAAGGCACAGGGCTATACCAAAGGTGGCCACACAGACTTCGGCAGTTTGACATTGCTTTTTTCACAACACGTCGCGGGCTTACAGATTCAGACTCCAGAGGGCGAATGGAAATACGTGAAACCTGTTGAGGGTGGAATAACTTGCAATGTCGCTGATACGTTGTCATTTTTGACAAATGGTGAGCACTCATATCGAACACTACCGAGACATCACATTAATAGAACTGAAAAGGCTTCTTGAAATCAACAATCCACCGCGTTGTCACACCACCAAAGGACCAGATTCATATCCCTCGTCTTGGACTGCTCTACTTTTGCAGACCAGGTGATCATACCATAATGAGGACTGTCCCATCGCCTTTGCTTGAACGCCTTGGGCTTCTCACCGAGGAGGATAAAAATCCCACCGGGCCTGCTGCCACAGGAACTGAATATGTCCGTGCCCGAGTCAAGGATGTGCACCACAAGAAAGTTATCGATCGTCGAGAAAACACGTCGTTCGAATTCAAGGGACTTAAGGTACCCAATTATTACAAATAATAATCTGCAGGATTAGCTTGAGAGCCCGCGCCCATCAATTGTATCAAAAATTATAAGTTATGATGGATTGAATTGTATAAAAGAGTATTTTAGGCTTTGTAGTTGGCAATCAATAGACAGATTAAAATTTGGCTCGAAGCCATCCAAAGTTATCGGAAAAGTTGCAGAATAGTGGTTTGCATTCAAATCTGCCTTTTTTTGAATTTCTAGATACCATCCGCAATTGAATGCTGGATTATGATATTGCCACGTAGGAAGAACCCAGGGCTTGGCAAAAATGTTAATATGTACTTGAATCTTGACTCTGCAGCAGTCGACTTGCCCTACGGTATGCTATGTTGCATTACGGCTCTGAGGTCGTGTGCTCCACCGCAGACGTACGCATGTAGAAGCCACATGGGTTAAGGGATTCTTTAGCCAACTCACTAGTGCCACAGTTCGATGGAGAATTGCGGTCTGGATAGCAATAATCGAGGATATGCGAATATGATACCATAAATGTGATGGTGCTTTGCCGACTTCCCTTGCAGAATCTTTAGACGTGGTGCCAGGTTTTGGCACAATTGAGCAGGGAGAAAAGTCGGTGACTCGATCTGAATATGTCTGAGATCTCTGACACCTCTTCGTGCAGATGTATGCTTCTCTAGTACAAGACATACAGCCCTGGAGAATAATAATTACATACTAGTACTGCCCGAACTCTTGCATTGTACATTCAAGGAAGGGATCAGTGGGCGGAAAACTTATCTCGGATGTTCCGTATTATTACACACATATGTAGTACTACTACTAGTACATACAGAACTGACCCCCACAATGAAGTCAATTTGGATGGTGTTTCATGTCAACCACAATTCCTCAAGTCGTGCTAGATCATTACCATATGTATTTATTACAAGTGGGTAAAATATAGACTCCAAACCTTCTCTGAAAACTTCTCGAAGGATTCATAACCAGCCTAATTCGGAAGTCTCCGTGCGAATGCAACTCTGGAAAGGCTACTCGGCGCTATTGATTTTACTACGTGTAGGGCAGTGGGGCAGTGGGCGATCATGGCAAGAAGAGACAGCCCCACT